CACAAGTTTAATCCTTGCTTGGGCAACTTAGCAAGACCCTGTCTCAAAATAAAATATAAGAAAAGGGCTGGCAATGTAGCTCAGTGCAAAGGCCTTGGTTCAACCCCTAGGTGGGAATAAGGGATTACAGGTCTTCCCAACATCAGTCTGTCAGTCTATACAACCCCAACCCAGCCTCACAACAGCCTCTGCAAGTGTTTTCTCCATTCTTGGGCTCATTCACCAGCCACCTTTGCATTTCTGAGGATAGTGAACAAAGAAAATCTGGTCTCTTTTCTGCAACTCATTTCAAACTCAGCCATGGGCAGGGGGCCCCTCAAGTAGTCCATCGCTATCTGCCTGCAGACTTGGTGCTCTCCTTAGACTGACAGTGAGACTCCGGGAATTTGTCCTACCCACCCTGGGTCCTTGCTACCACATGTCATGGAAAACCCCGAAGTCTGTCTTTCTTCCTCAGCTGCCAGCCTACTCCAGGTCTTTGTCACCATGCAGCATGATTGCTGTATTAGCCTGCTGTCTGCTTCCTCACCGTCGGCCTCTGGGATTGTCCTCATTTTGTTCCTACAAAGATTCTTGATTGCTTATCAATTGCTAGTTGTCAAACTTCAGTCAGTATTCCCTGACTGATTAATAAGGACCCCTCTTTTCCTCCTTTTCCTGGAACATAAATCATTTCCCAGTTGATCAAGAGCATCCACTAAACACAAGTCTTTTTTTAGCACTGTGTTATGGTTTACATTCAGATGTCCCGCTACAGCCTCATGTGATCATAGGAGGGACTTTTGGAAGATGTATTGTAGCTGGCTTGCTGTTAGGATAGGAGGTAGGGCCTGGTTGGAAGAGGCAGGTCACTGAAGGTTATATTTCCCTTCTTGGCTCCTCCCTTCACACTCTTTGCTTCCCTGCCACCATGACACGAGTGGCTTCTCCTCCACCATGCCCCTGTGCCGTGCTGTCCTGCCTTGGAGCCAGCTGACACTGGACTGAAACCCCTGCAAACTGTGAGCCAAGATAAACCTCTCTTTTAAGTTGCAAATGTTGGGTATTTTGTCTCAGCAGTGAGGAAAGTGACTAATAAAGATTTTAGTACCAGAGAAGTGGGGCTGTTGCTATGACTACCTGACTGTGTGGTTTAGAAGCTTTTGGGACTGGTTCATGGGAGGAGTTTGGAAAGGTTTGGAGATGGCCAGTTGAAGAAGCAGCCCTAGAATGCTGTAATCTGAGCTTGATACAAGATTCTTGTCAGGATTCTGGTCAGAGCTCAGAAGATCTGAATGCTGGCAGAAATGCAGACAGTAAAGATTAGGCTCAGGTGGTTTCTGTTTGGAACAAGGACTCCATGGCAGTTGGACTCCAGGCCATGTGTGTTATGCTCTGACAGAAGATTTGTCTATATTTTGCTCATGTCCTGAAACTTTGTGGGAGACTAAGATTAAGGATGGCAGACTAATTGATCTGGTGGGGAACATTTCAAAGCAGTCCAATGTTGAAGCTGTGGCATGGATACTGCTTGCTGTTTTTAGCAGGTTTTGTTCCTGAATATCAGGAACAAAAAGCCTTTTTGAAAAGTTTTCATTTTCACCAGAAAGGAACTCCCTATAAAGTAGTAGCAGAGGAGAGCTTGGTTGCTAAAAAGAATAGCATTAAAAAGAAGCCAAGCACTTTGGATCAGGATAATACGAAAAATGGCTTGCAAGTATGTCAGAAATCTGCAAGGCCCCACTCCTAGGAGGCTCAAAGTTGCAAAAGTGAAAGACTTTGGTTTGAGAAGGAAGTCCCAAGACACTCTGTTGGAGAAGGGTCACCTAGGGAATTGATTCCCCAGGATTTCATTTACCATGCTCAGCTATCCATGCACTCAGAGGCTTCAGCAGCCATGATGCAAAGCAGCATGGCTACCGCTGAAGCCAACAGCTGACCTTGGTGTCATCCACATGGTGCTGGTTTTATAGACATGGAGAAAGCAAGACTTGTAGGGTCAGGAAAGCTTCCACCCAGACTTCAGAAGAAGGCCTGGGAGCCCAGGGTGTGTGTTCCTGAGAGGGCAGTGTGTGAAGCTGTGAGAGTGAAGCCAAAAGTGCAGTGAAGATTCTAGAAAGTTACAGAAGGCAGGAATGTGGAACATCTCAGGAAAGCCGCAGGGAGTAAGCAGAGCCAGCCCAAGAGAGGATCCATGAGGGCTACAACCACTAGCAATGCTATAGGGGCAGAGCCAACCAAACCCTTTGGAGTTCATGTCTCATTGCCACAACTTGTCCTGAGTGCTGGACATAGAGCTATAGGATTTAATGTTTCCCCTGCTGTGCTTCAATTTGCTTTGATTCCATTGGTTTCTCACCCTCTTCTTCCCTTTTGGAGTGGGAATGCTTACCCCATGTCATTGTGTGTTGAAAGTGTTTGAACTTCTTTTTTATTTTTATAGGGGCTCACAGCTAAGAGTTTGCCTTAAGTCTCAAAGGAGACTTTAATGCTGGAACTGTTAGGACTTTGGCAACTCTTAGAGATGGACTAAATGCAATTTGCATAAAGACATATGCATGAATCTTTTGGGGCCAGGGCCAGAAGAACGTTATGGTTTACATCTGGATGTTCCCCGAGAGCAGCAATGGAGACCCTTTTAGAGCTTTCAATGATAACAAACAACTTGGTGCAGCACGCATGCCATAAGCTCGCCACCACTGCCCTAAAGCCTCATTTTATCAATCATAGGTGAGATTGGATTACAGGGGCAGTATAGGTGGCTTGCTGTTAGGAGGTAGGACTGGGTTGGAAGAGGTGGGTCACTGTGGGTGTCACCTGGAAGGTTATATCTCCCTTACTGGCTCCTTCCTTGATCTCTGCTTCCCTGCCACCATGACATACTAGCAGCTTCTCCTCCAGCATGCCCTCATTCCATGCCACCCTGCGTTGGAGCCAGCGGACCCTGGACTGAAACCTGTACAAACTTGAGCCAAGATAAACCTCTCCTTTAAGGAGCAGCTGTTGGAATTTTGTCCCAGGAATAAGGAAAGTGACTAAGATACTCTGAAGTGGGGGTGGATGGCAGAGAAGTAGGAGCCATGGCCCCTGCCTTCAGGGAGCCTTTACTCTTTGAGAGCCAATGATACAAGGCATCCTTAGATAATGTAGTATTTGAGAGCTTCCTGAACCTATTTTAAAAAGCCCATCACAAATTTTATAACAATAAAAACAGAGGCAGTAAAAAGTTCTAAATGGATCATAGCTTAGATGAATGGCCAGATATGATTATACTGCATTATTAGCTAGATTAAGAGTTAGAAAATAAAGCAATGTCCTTTGGGAGTTACCGGAAGTTCCCTAGGAACAAGTTATGCTACATTATCTTGTTTTCTTTTATGATAAGATTCTAGAGCTTGGTCCACAGTGCCTTACATTTAGTGTATCTTGAGTTCCAAAGGCTTTAGGAACAACCTCGCATGTTGTGTTTATGGAAAAGAAAACTGAGTAAGAGCATAGTCCATGGATTTAGAGCTGCTGGAAGGATGGTCCATGGATGGGATTGTTGTGTCCTTGAGGTCTGTGTCCTTGGAGTCAGTGTCTCATCGGTGACGTAGGTAGTGAACATGGTGGCACGTCTCATCTGTGATGAGCGCAATCTAGGAGAAACAGCTAAGAATCGGGATTCAAAATATATCTTGACACCCCCTCCCCAAGTGAGTAGAGATTAAAAATAGAATCTGATGTATATGTACTAAAAATTAAGATCTCTAAGTACAGCATGGCATCCCAGTAGTTGGTGCATGAGCTGAGGGTCTTTGCTGACCCTGTCCAGGTGGTCTGAAAGTATGTTGATCAATTAACTGTTTACCCAGAGCGTCACTTGGGCAGCGTGTTTGTTTACTATCCCGAATGTCGCTTGGGGAGGTGTCATTTCAACTAGAGGATCCTTGTATTGAATACGTTTGATAAAATCGTCATTTTTCTATTTCCTGTTATATTATTTTATAAAAATTTACAAAAAATGTATGCAATTTTTGGTCATCCTGTATTTAAGTAATTGGACTGGTAAGTGGTTAAGGACCAGTGGTTAAGCATGCTTCCTCCCTGAGCGGGGGGGCCTGTGTACTGACGGTTGGACTTACTGACTTAGGGGCGATGGGACATCCATTGCTGGGGCCAGTGTTCTTCTCGATCTGGTCATCACTGAACTCAGCTTGACCGGTGGCAAGCCAGATACTTAACCCTTTCTGTTCCACCATTGTCCTGTTGTTGGATGTTCATCACAGCCTCTGTCCATTGGTGCTTCTGTTCTTGGCTGGTATGAAAGGCAGATCTAACCGGTTTCTTTCTACGTGTTGAGCACCATCCAGTGGTCATCCCTATCCCTTTATCCAGGGTTTGGGCTCACAACACCCAGGTGATCATTCTGAGGACCACCAGGCTCCTTCAAGATAGACGGGTGAACCACCACCTTGCTGAGATTTCCCATTCACCCTGACATATCTGTGTATAGCAGGCCAGGCAGGACACTGAACAAGACTGGAACTTTCCACCCTCTGTTCCGCTAAAGGCCCCTGCTCTCAGCTGTGCCACATACAAGCTTAGTGTTTCCCTGCCTGCCCACCTCTACCCTTCACTCCCTGCTACTTTAAATTGAGAGCCTGAAATGAATCAAGTGAGTAAGCGACCCATCTTGTCTTCCTGAGGACAGGGAATCGAGTCCCACATGCAAGTCATGGACAGTGTAGGTGAGACCAGCTCTGACCACCTGGGAGTTGCTTTCTGGGGCTGCAGCCCTCTTCTCTCTGGGAACAAAGGGAGGATGCATGGGGAGAGAGGCTGGGCTGGCCTGGTGGAAAGGACATGTGAATGCCTCCAGGTGGAGAGAGTGGAGGAAATAGAAACTGTGGGAGAAGCGAGGGAGCCTTGACGATTAGACTGAGAGCCCCTGACAGTCTGTGGGTCCAAGAGGTTCTGAGGGCAGAATGACCACTTGCCGCCATGCCCAACCACCCTGTGCTGTCTGTTCTGCTGCCTAGGTCGCCATGAGGACCTAGGACACCTGCCTGCTGACCGCCCGGCCCACAGTGAGCATGGCCCCCCGCAAGAGGAGCCGCCATGGCCTGGGCTTCCTGTGCTGCTTTGGGGGCAGCGAGCTCCCCGAGATCAATCTCCAGGACAACCGCCCACTGCAATACATGGAGTTCTCCAGCCCCATCCCAAACCCGGAGGAGCTTAATGTCTGCTTTGCGGAGCTTGTGGTCAGTAGCGGGGCAGGGAGGTTGCTCACACAGCGGGGTGGGGAGAGGAAGCACAAGCAGGCTGGGACTGAGACAGGAGCCCGTATGCTGGGTCTCCTCCTTGCCAAACTCCTCTTGGGGCTGAGGCTGGCCCCCTAGAAGCCACCAGGTGTGTAGGAAAAATAGTCACCGGGGCAGATACCATGGAGACTAGTACTGGCATCCAGACCCTAGAATGGAGCAGTCTGGCTGCTGTAGGAAAGGGCAGGACCAGGTTCTATGGCCTGACAAGATGGTGAGAATTCTCAAGGAACATCCCAACTCTTCCCCTCTGTTTCCTGGAGTTTCCCAGGGATCCTTTTATTTTGGAGGAAGGAAGAAGGGATAGAGTGGGATTCTTTGGGGGAGAGACTGTGCACTTTGGAATAGGAGATGACTAGCTAGAAATATGGAGGTAGCGATTCTTGTATTATGCCCAGGACTGGGTTGAGGCCAGGCTGACCGTATCCTTTGCCTAGCCACGGGCAGCCAGACCTCTTGTCGGTCATCCTAGCACCTGACTTCCTGACTCTTTGCAATGCCTGTCCAGAGCAGCACACCAGCCTGGCTTCGTGAGAAGCCCTGTGTGTGAAACTGCAGGCTCCGACCAGGAAGGAAGCACAATTGCTCTCTTCAGAGGTCTGATGGAAGACAAAACCTGCAGACCCAGAGAGACCCAGACTGCCCTGGCCTGCAGCTCTCAGTGTGAGCCCATCTCATGTGAGCTCCAGGTTTCCCATTCTCATAGGGCCAGGAGTCATGCCAGGAGAGAAGCTATGTAGCTTGGAATTTGCTTTCCTCCTTGCATTTTCTAATAGATGCATCTGGCTAAGCCAACCCAGCCCTTTAAATGACAGGCCCGATGTAAGATGAGACCCTGCAGGTTTAGATGGCAAAGCTGTCTGGCTTCCTTCTCATGTTAGGTTTAGGAAAACTCATTGTTTCCTGATTTATACCGTTCCCCAGGATGGGGTGGAGAATAAAGTGTTTACTGGTATAGAACAGCATTTGGAGCCTGATAGATATTAGGGATGTTTTCATGAGTAGAGTGCATGAGTTTTTTGGTTTTTTCTAGTACCGGGGATCCAACTCAGGACCTTGTACTTGTGAGGCAGGCACCGAAACCACAGAGCTAAATCCCCAGCCCCAAGTACATGAGTTTTAAAAGAAGGATATTACGAGAGGTGCTCTTTTCTTTTTTAGTGAACAAATATTTACTCAGCATCTTTGCTAAGCGGGATCCTTGCAAGGTACTTCAGCAAAAGCAAGGATGAGCCAAGTCTTGCTTGCAAGGAAACTAGAGGCAAGTGTTGAGCAAAGAAACGAGAAAGCTTCCTTGGGGAGAGTACTGAGTCCTCCCTTCCTGTGGGGGTCCTAGGATTTAGAGGTGACTTCTCAGACAGGTCCTGACTCCAGAATGGGAAGTCTAGTAGAGTAAGACGGCTGGTTTTGAGGAGCAGTCCCATCCCTGTTAAGACACCAGAGTCACCCCAAAGTACCTATAGAGTGACCCCCAAATATGATGGCCTTGGAATCTCCCCAGTTCCACCTTCTTGGAAAGTGCAGACCAGCCTGGTGGAGCCCCAGCCTCGAGTATGCACAGCCTGCTCTCAGTGCTTGGGTGGGAAAGGGCTGTCCCCATAGGCAGCCCTGCTGTGGAGCAGATCAGCAGCCCCATGGGCTGGGAAATAAGAAATAAAAAACCCTGAGCAAGAGGATGAGGGACCTTAGGAGGCTGAGGCAGGAGGATCAGAAGTTCAAGCTCAGCCTGGGCAACTTAACCACTTAGACCCTGTCTCAAAATTTAGAGAACGGGCTGAGGATGGAGCTCCTGCCAAAGCCTTAGGTTCAATCCCCAGTGCTGCAAAACAAAAATGTAAAGGATGAGGGAGAAGCAAAGCAACGCAGGAGGAGGGCAGAGGACAGGGTGGCCTGGAGGAGAGGTAGTGTGGACAGGAAGGAAGGCAACGTGATTACAGAAGGGCTGAGGCTGTGCCTGTTGCAGGAAAAGAAATGTCGCATCACATACTGAATCTCTGGGAGAAAGGGAGTGGGCCCAGGGTAGGTTTGAGGTGCTGCAGTCCCCTGCAGGGCTGAGTGTTCTAACTGCAGCCATTCCTGGGTTTCAGACAGCTTTGTTCTTGTGTTTTCAGGATGAACTGGATCTCACCGACAAAAACCGGGAGGCTGTCTTTGCCCTGCCTCCAGAGAAGAAGTGGCAGATCTACTGCAGCAAGAAGAAGGTGCCCCTCTGAACCCTGCAGCGTCCTGGGGTCTGGGCTGGAGCACACTCAGCAGCTGCTTTTGTGCCCCAGTTGCTTCTGGGCACTGGGGAACAACAGTGAAGGAAATAGGAAAAGACCCCTGTCCTTCTGGGGTGCACACGGCGGGCTGGGCTTCCTTTTGGAAGACCCTGTGACTGAGGCACTTGTGGCTTCCAAGAGTGGTGTGGACCAGAGATCCGAGACAGGAGTCTCACTCCCTTCTTGTGCGCAGCCCTGGGCCACACTCGGCTTCGTCCTAAGAAGCCAGTTGGCAGCAGTGTGGTAGGATCCTCTATGGGTCTTCCGCCTCTACCCTGTCCCAGGCTGGGGGTCACACATAGGTCCTCATTCTTCTCTTGTTCCTTTCAAGGCACCTCTGGCCTCCTGACTGTGGTCCTCCCTAGAAAGGGGCGTGCTGGGTTCTGGGTTTATTATTATTATTTTTGGCTTTTTGAGACAAGGTCTCACTATGTAGTGCAGGCTGATCTCTGATTTGCAGCAATCCTCCTGCCTCAGCCTCCCCAGGGGCTTAAGGAATTTTGTCTCCTCCCTCTGGTTTCTTGGCAGTGCTAGCCCATTTGTAGCCCTTCTCTTGTGAAGACAGGGATGTGCATGCTGCAAGCTTTTGCCTTGGGTCACAGTGCACATTTATTAAGCACCTGCAGAATACATCTCTGTGTCCAGGAATCTCATTGTGAGAGAAAAAGGCTTTTAAAAAGCTCAAGTCAGGGAAGGAAGGAAGGAAAAATAAAATTCAGAAGTAATGCTATCTCATACGTTTCCACTTTCCACATTGATTTCTATGGGGTTCCCTTAATGTAGCTAAAGTAAAAGACTTACTAAAATATAAGAGCATCTCACTGTTTTCCAAACCAAATTGTGGGAGGTTTTTCTCACACTGCTCTCCCTTCCCACATGGATTTCCTCTGTCTCTGGCATCCTCCCCACCTGCTGTAACCTAAATGATTGTTAATACCTCAGTCCTCCCAATCTACTCCTGCTCCGCCCTTCACAGCCTGCGTGTCGGCCCCCATTCGTATGGACTGTTCTACCACAGCGTTTATTGCTGCTTTTGGCCCTGGAGTATTACAGCCAAGGCTGAGACCATGACTTTTTCCTCACCACTGAGTGATGGGCATTTATCAGGTGCTCATTAAACGCACAGGAGCTGGGTAGCAGTGAGGCAGCTGACACAGGAAAATGTGTGTGTGCTGATGTGGCTGTTTTTGGCCATGTGATTCCCTCCCCAAGGTGGAAGACAGAGCAATGGCTTTCCCACTGGTGGACAGTGTGAGTTTTATGAAACAGAATAGTGAAGCTTGGTGGACAGAGCCGGCGCGGGGTGGGGGTGGGGGGCGCAGAGGCTCCCCAGGGAGGTGCGGAGGAGGTGAGTCTTGGTGCTGACCGGCTGAGAGCACAGGAGGGCGTGTCCTGAGTGACCTAGGCTCAGGGACAGGAAGGAGCAGGACGAGGTCACGCCCTGGTGCCGGTCCACTTGGGGTCCAGTGGGCACCCAGACCCACCAGGCTCCCTCCATTCCTGCTCACACCAGGGGAGGAGCTAAGCCTCCTCTTGGGGCTGAGGTTTAACCCTTCTCCCTCCCAGCTGCACAGCAAAAAGTGACAGCAACTAAATCAGAGCGCGAGGCCCTTGCCAGAGCCCGAGGCCTCAGGAGCACCCCACTCCTTTTTTTGGTAGTTGCTAGGTATTTATCAAGTACTTGCTGTGTACCTGGCACTGCCCCAAATGCCTTGTATTAGCATTCTTAAGCTGTCTGAGAGAAAGACTCAAGTTTTTAAATTTCCAAACCAACCCAGACCAACACTTTTATATGATACAAGAATGATATTATCAGGAAAAGGAAAGATGTACAAAATATAAGGACAAACTTGTATTAGACTCAACCTCCATACAGTTATATTTCACTAAATACAGGCAGAGCAAATATGGCCAGAGAAAAAGACCGTTTTAGAAAATGTACACCTGCATAGCTCCTGCCTAGCTCATCGCCTGGGTGTAAGATTCAGTTTTCCTAATCTGCTTTTAACCCGGGAAGAGATGGAAGGTTTGGGAGTTTGCCTCTGCCCTCAAGACGCCCCCTGTGGGCAGGCTGGGAACTGCAGCCCCCTGTTGGCTGAAGTTCAGGGTCTCTGGCCAGGGGGCTGCCTTGCCACTTGGGCCAGACTGACTGTCTTCTTGTTCCAGGAGCAGGAGGACCCCAACAAACTGGCGACCAGCTGGCCTGACTATTACATTGACCGCATCAACTCCATGGCTGCGGTGAGTGGCTGCTCCTCTCCTGCTGTGGTTCCACCTAGAACGGCCACATGGGCTGTGTGCCCCCAGCATGAAGCCACCCTTTCCTGCCCCTCTGTGCCCTGCTCAGCAGCTTCCTAGCATTCTCAAGATCTTGAAGTCCTTCCTCTCTCCTGTGGGACTTCAGAGTCCCCTAATCATTTAGACATGTATTAACCCATCTGGACATCGCACAAGCTTGGGAAACAGAGTCTCCCCATTTTCCAGATGAGGAAAGTAGAGTCCTGTCCCAGAACCTGGGTCTTCTCAGAGTCCAACACCCTCTTAGTAACCATTCCCTGAGGCCCCGCCCTTCCCGAGGCCAGAGTGGTCCTTGAGTCTCCCCAGGGCCAGGAGGGAGATGAGTTGCCCGCCATGACTTCTGTCCCTCTTTCCCCATTGGTGGTGCAGATGCAGAGTCTGTATGCATTCGATGAGGAGCAGACAGAGGTGAGGAACCAGGTTGTGGAAGACTTGAAGACGGCTCTCCGGACACAGCCCATGAGGTGACTGCTCATTTCCCTCCCTGACTTCCTCCCCACCTGGGTGGGCTGTCCCCTGACTTCCTGAAGCCCTGCCCTCATGGTGGTCCGAGCTCTACTCCCAGAATCCCCCGGAGTCCCTTCACCTTCTCCACCCCCTCACCCATGCTCTGCTGGGAAGCTGCTGGGGCTCGGCAGATGAAGAGGGAAGGACAGCACAGTCAAGTCCAGTAAACCTGGGGTCCTGAGGAGTTCGCTAAAGGGTAGTCAAGTAGTCAAGTCTTGGTTGTATGGGGGAGAACAGAGAAAGAGAGTGGCTAGAGGGACTGTGTATCCCAGCCAGGAGGAAGGTGGGCACGTGGCCTGAGAAATATCCAGCCACTAGAGGGAAATGTGGAGTCTGTGGAGTCTGTGGAGGAGACTCAGCCATCACGTAGGCAAGTAAAGGAGGATAGGTAGCCTTAGCCCAAAGGAGGACACCTCCGCCTTCCCACACCACAAGCTTGGGGGTCTGAAGACAACCAAGACCGCGGGACTTCCATGCACTTGGCTCTGCCTGGTGGTTTGTTGGAAGTGGGCTCATGTCAGCTGGTGAGAACTCATTAAATCTTCGGCAGTTTTGCAAACCAGTTGTTCCACATAGCTTTGATTAAAATTTAAATTATATAAACTTATGATTAAATAAGGTATATTAAAGGTGGTACTTGAAAGGTATCACTCTCTAATTACCTGGTTATTTCTTCTACGTTCTGCTACTGTGCATTCTCTTTACTGTTCATTCTGCTTTTGAGTTTGTGTCCAGTGGTATGTACAGTGGAGACACTAGATAACGGCATGTCTCTTTCCAACCTCACATTCAGTGACATCAGATCAATAGCTTGACATTGGCTACAGAAATGCTATGTGTCCTGAGGTCTCTGCCCTAGGAGCCAAAGGCTGCATCATCCTAGTCCCCAGGCCCTCTGCTAGCTGGGGTTGCTCTGGGAAAAGGATGCAGGAAAGCATAAGGTAGTCAGGAAGCAAAGAGCTTTGGAGAGGGAGGGGTTGCCATGTTCATCCCACTTCAATTCATTTTAATTTCCTTTAATAAAATTCCAGTTACAAAAGTTATGCATAGTCATTCTAGAACTGTTGTGGAATATGGAAAAGCATAATAGAAAAAAGTAAAAAATACCTATTGTTCAGCTAAATCCGAGAGCATATTCTATTGTTCTAGGCACATTTGGACAACAGTATAATATACCTATAGATACATTTATGTATTAACTATGTGTAGTGTTTCCTAAGCTCCATTTATGACTCTTTCTTCGTATATTTAATTATGCTACTAAATGAAAATTTAAAACCTTTCTCTTTTCAGTGTGTGTGTTGCTATGGATATCTGGTACCCAGAATAAATCTATGGGCTGCTTCTCAAAAATGATATTTTTTAAAATAACCAAATAAACTAGATAAATAGGGTTAAAAAATAAACCAGTTCAATTAAAATATAGCTACCGAGTATTAAAAATGCATGAGATTGCAGTAAATGTGCTTCTTTATGTCTTCAGCAAGAGCTGGCAACGGGTCTGATAACCACCATCATCTTGAAGTACTGCTGAGTGTGAGCGATATTTTGAGATAGCTGCTGAATTGAAAATCTGCTATGAAAATACTGATGATTTCTTTGGGTGACAAAGTCACAGATTCTGCTAATAGTACTGTCCTTTATAGCCTACATCCATCACTAAAGGGAATGCTCAGTTTCAGCTAGAGGTTATCAGAAATGAGGATGTAATTTTCTTTTCCTGTCCAAGTCTCTGAACCCTTAAGTCGTTGGTACCCATAGACCCTTCAGGGGAACCCAGACTCCAGGCTAAGAACCCCTGAATTAAATGGGTTTTAATGTTTTCTGCTAACACTCAAGATAACTCCACTGTTTTCTCAAGGACTCCAGAAGTGTAACTTCACTGCCTTGGTCCCTTGACTCAATAGGTCTAATGGCCTCCCTGTGTGGCCATCTCACTATAATTCTCTGAAATCCCATTCTTATTGGAGATGAGTCTTCAGTTGTCCAGTCATCCCATTACCTAATCCCATTTTAGCTATGCAAGTGACAGTCAACTGTATGCAAATGAGATGCAAGATTTTGTTCTTGACCGATGGTAGGATTTTAGTGCTTTGGATAAACTTTGTAAATGAATGAAGTAGCTACTGCAGTAGGATTTATTGTACACAGGTAAGAAGGTAGCTGTTTGCAAAATGTATAAAAAGTGGAAAACAGACATAGGCAGCCTTTTCTGCTGATGGCTCTGGCCCCTAGGTTCGTGACCCGCTTCATCGAGCTGGAGGGCCTGACCTGCCTGCTGAATTTCCTCCGGAGCATGGACCACGCCACCTGTGAGAGCCGCATCCACACCTCCCTCATCGGCTGTATCAAGGCGCTGATGAACAACTCACAGGGGCGGGCACATGTGCTGGCACAGCCTGAGGCCATCAGCACCATCGCACAGAGCCTGCGCACTGAGAACAGCAAGACCAAGGTGGCCGTGCTGGAGATCCTGGGTGCCGTGTGCCTCGTGCCCGGAGGCCACAAGAAGGTCCTGCAGGCCATGCTGCACTACCAGGTGTACGCGGCAGAGCGCACGCGCTTCCAGGTGGGCAGGGCGCCTGGCTGCCTTGTGCCAGGGCGGAGCTGAGCAGAGGTGATGCATGCTGCAGGGGACAGCATGGGCTGCACACCTGCTCACAGAAGGAAGAGAGGCTGGGTCAGAGGGCTCAGCTCGCCAGACACCAGGGCTTAAGAGTTGTGCACTTGGCTGGGAAATGGACTGGTCCTCCTCACTGGGATATGGGTTCCTGGAGCCTGGAGTATCACTTTGCTTTGTTTTTCGTGGCTCTGCATTTCTGAGCGCAGCATCCAGTTCATGACAGGAGCTCAGTTAAGAATTGTTGAATTGAGTGTGATTATTGGGGTCAAGACTTTAGGTCCAAGGCTGGGGCCAGGGGCCAGTGCCCAGAGCTGGGACACTGGGGTCAGCTCCAGGACCTCAGGCCACACTGTCCTCTGTTCTTCTTTGGGACCTAATAGAAAAGGGCCACTGAAATAGCTGATAAGTATAAAGTGTTCGCCCTGCACAGAGAGGTCCTCTGTAGATGTGAACCGGTTCCCAAGTCTGGTTTATGCTCCAGGATGGGCTATTTTTTTATCCTGTCATCAAAGGTGTTCGAGCACTTGCTGTGTGCAGAGTGCGGCCCCTGACTCTTTGCAGAAGATGAAAAGGGGATAAAAGGTAGCTGTGGGGCTGTTGAGCTGGGAAGGGAGAACTCGGGGATCCATCTGGAGGAGTTTGAAAGCAGCCCCGCTCTGCAGAAGGAACACAGCCCAGGGCTGAGCAGGGCTGAGGCTGTGGTATGGCGAGGCTGTGGCAGCTCCTTGCAGAGGTGTCTGAGATGGCCTGGGGAGATGACGTGGGCGGAGAGAATGGACAGGACTCCTGCCAGGGGTGAAGGGCTAGAACCTGATCTTTAGGATCCTGAACCCTGAACCTGACCCTGTTCTGCCTTCCCATCCAGACTCTGCTAAACGAGCTGGACCGAAGTTTGGGCCGGTACCGGGATGAAGTGAACCTGAAAACAGCCATCATGTCCTTTATCAACGCTGTCCTCAATGCTGGTGCTGGGGAGGTGAGGCCCCTTTCCTTGTCTCACTGTCCCTGGACCGGGGTATGTGTGTGCGTGTGCATGTGTGTGTGTGTGTGTGTGTATTTGTGTCCTTCCTGAGTAAGTGGCAGAGAAAAGAGCCACAGCATCTGGTTGGTGTGGAAGCATATCACATTCAAATTATCTTTAGAGCCTCTTCCATCCTTCAGTGGGGCTTACTGACACTAAGGTAACAGCATGTCAGCCAGCCCCAAACCTTGTGTAACCTACAATCTGTCTTATCGGTGGTTCTTCTTAGCTGTGTGAAGGACAAATTCTGACTTTATTTGCCTACAAAATTCTTCCTGCTTCACCTAAACCTGGGAGGGGTCTGGGGACTTTTCTAGGGAGTCGGCATGGCGTGTTCTAACTGAAATGGAGCATTTCCTTCAGTGGTCGGTGTAGGCTATGAAGAACAGTGCTATTAGCAGAATAAGGACAGATTCTCAGCAAGTCTGGCTGATCAGGGTGGCAGGGGATCATCTACGAGAGGAAGGCAAGCTTCTAGCCCTTTTTTCTAGAGCTTTCTAGAGGCCTGCTTCTGGACACTTTCTGGGTGAGTTGGTGGCGGTCTTGTAGCACTTTGTTAGGAGCCGTGGCTTTTCCTTTGGGATCAGGATTGGATTCTTAGACCATCAAAATAGCAACATTAGAAGAACTTGAACAGCAGATGAAAGCTCTAAACTCTGAAGGCAATCAGATGCCGCTGTCAAGGTCAACTGGAAGAACAAAGAGGGCAAGAGGAACAATTTAGTGATCTCTGCCTTTCCCTGGTTTCTGCCAGCACACATTTGTTTTTGGATATAGTCTTGCTAACCTGCATCAGGTACAGCTCGCTGGGGGAATAACCTGTCCCTGACACCTGCATCACCTTTGTCACTGCCAGCTCTCTATGGCTGACATCCATTCTGATCGGTTGGTAGTTGTCCTGCATCTGGTAATTTTAGTGACCATCATCCCCGTAGGTAAGCTGGGTCATGCCTGTTTTATGAATGAGGAAACTAAGGCTTTGCCAAGACCACAAAACTCAGAAGAGACAGGACAGACTGAAGGCAGGACTTGCCTGACGCTGAAGCCCCTGCTTGGTGTCACTTCATAGCTCTGCTTTTTGAGGCCAGAGGCTAAGAAAACTGGTGAGGCTCTGGAAGGACATGAGGCAGGACCCCCGAAAGGACTGGGCAGTGGGCTTGCTCTGAGAGATGACAGGTCAAGGCCATCTTTCTGTCTCTCTCACACTTCTGAGGCTTGAGCAGCTCTGGGTGAGTTTGCTGCAGATGGGGTGGGACTCTGAGTGGGGTGGTGATGGGGCCTCCAGGAGCGACTCTTGGGGGCACCAGGCCACCCACTGACTCTGGTTCTCCCTCGGTTACCCCCAGGATAATCTGGAGTTCCGGCTACATCTACGGTATGAGTTTCTGATGCTGGGGATACAGCCTGTGATTGACAAACTCCGGCAACATGAGAATGCCATCCTGGACAAGTAAGATCTCGACTGCTGGGTGGGTCCCGGGGCAGATGTGTGGGGGCCGTGCTCAGCTAGGGTGGGAAGCACCTTTGCCAAGGCTCTCCTTCCCATAGGACCGCGTGCCATGCCCAGCATAGGTTCCGAATCAACTCTGTGGGAGACAGGGGGACAGATGTCCTCTGCTGTCCTCTGCTGACCTGCTGGTCTCAGTCCCCAGGTGATAAACAGGGGAATGTGACAGTTCTCATCCATAGCGCTGCCCCCAGGGGGCCATTGGGAATACATTGGGGCATTCTTTGCTTTTCAAGTTGATTGCTGGGGGTACTATGCCATGAGTTGCTGGGATCAAGGGTGCTCAACATCCTGTAGGACCCACCTGCTTAACATGGAAAGAGCCCGCCCCAAATGCATGCTGCTAAGCCCTTGCTGGTGGAAGGACCTAATGAAACTCTGTGTTACCAGTGAGCCCTCTGCTTGCATCAGTATGGGCTGTTCTGTGACCGGGGGTTTAGGGAGAGAAGATGGATCCTTCTGAGATGGACCAAGTCGCCATGTTGCTGTGGTTAGAAAACAAGACAGAGATTACCTTTGAGGGCTGACTTGGGAACCGTAGGAGGATGTGGAGGAAGCTAAATACAGGACAGCGGTTCTTGACTGGGGGCAATTATATCTTCTAGGAGACACTTGGCAATACCTGGAGACATTTGTGAGTGTCCCGTTTAGAGGAGCAGATTCTATTGACATCTCGTGGGTAGAGGCCATGCGTGTTGTTAAACATTCCGCAGTGCCCAGATCAGCCTCCCACAGCCAGGGATAACAGCCTAAAATGCCAGTCGTGTCAGATTTGAGAAGTGCTGGTCTATGCTGCTGGGACTCTGGGAAGGCAGGTCGAGGGCTCTTAAAAGCAGAGGGGAGGGGGTGCAGGCCTATGGTTTTGCCTAGGCTCAACTGAATGAGGCATTCCGGTGCAGCCGAGGTTGAAGGGACTGCAACCCTAAAGCACGGATGGCTCAGCAGTCACCTCTCTGTCCCCCACCCTGTCTAGGCACCTAGACTTCTTTGAGATGGTCCGGAATGAGGATGACCTGGAGCTGGCCCGGAGGTTTGACATGGTGAGGAACTGCGGGTGGGGCAGTGGCACTGGGGTCCCAGGCAGCCTTGCAATAGCCGCTCCGGTCCAGGGCTGGGGGGGGGGCAGTGTCCACTGGGGCCCCATGGCCAGGTCCTGCTTCTGGAGCCCTGGAGGGGTGCTGGCTCTGGGGGCCTCCCAATGGGTCCCATCTGGTCATCGCCCCAAGGAGACCACAACCCCCAAAGCAAAGAGAGCCAGCTCCTGTGCATGAGTAGTCTCCAGGGCCTTTCTGGGATGATTTTTCTGTGCCTTCTAGCAGTTTCCTGAGTCCCCTCTCCCTACCCCTAACCAGGTCATGCTTAGCAATCCTGAAAACACACCACCACTGGCTCAATGTCATATTATAAAAAAATCCTCCCCAAACAGGAAACTCCTCCTGGGTGGTGCATGGAGAACCCACCACTGCCCACTGTATTCTCACCAAAGCCTGGGTCTGAGCCTCATGAGCTACGGTTAGAGGGGACAGTCAGCCTGCAGTTGTCACATGGCGAGAGTAGATCAGGGACTTGAACTGAGGTCGTGGACCTGTGTCACAGGCCATGTGCTACTCTGAAGCATCCACTCTTGCTTCTTCCCTTTAGTTGGAATCAGTAGTTCTCAGCCACAGGTGCTTTTCCTCCCCCATGAGGGCACATCTAGCAAAGCTGAAGACAGTTTGGTTGTCACACTTGGGGGCGAGGGAGGGGTGCGAAGGGCAGGGTGCTGCTGGCTTGGAGAGGCAGAGGCTGGAGATTTTGGCGAGCATCTTACAGTGCAAAGGCAGCCCCTGCAGGGAGAGTTATCTGGCCCAGGGTGCCCACAGTGCTGAGAAGCAGAAAGCCTTGTTTATGTCATGAGCCTCTCTCCCCTCTTCTTTTCTCCATCTTTCTCCTTTCGAGCCTGGGCCAGAGGCAGGGGAAGAGGAGCCCTCCTAGGAGAGGGGCTCAGCGATGGAGACACAGTCTTCTCCCCAGTCACCTTGCCCCTCACCCTCAGGTCCACATTGACACCAAGAGTGCCTCTCAGATGTTTGAGCTGATCCACAAGAAGCTGAAGCACACCGAGGCCTACCCCTGCCTGCTCTCTGTCCTGCACCACTGTCTGCAGATGCCCTGTGAGTACCCTGCCGCCTGGCTGCCTGAGGGCTGAGCCTGGCTCAGGGCAGGCGGAGACGCGGGACTTAGGAGGGCCCTTTCTGTGTTGGGGAGTCTGACTGTGTCTTGCTCTGCACTTGTCCTTGGAAGCCACGGGCCCGTGACTCGGGCGCCTCCCTCTCAGGGTCAGGACATCCACTGCCACCCTGGGGAGGAGCTGGAGACTTGGCTCTGAGCAACTCCAACATCTTCATCCAGCAAGCAGTGGCTTGATCATTGCAAAATCAGACAGCTCTGTGGTCAGCTCATGACAGGAGTACTCAATACTGTGTGTGTGTGTGTGTGTGTGTGTGTGTGTGTGTGGTACTAGGGATTGGTCCCTGGGCCTTTGCACTAAGCTACATCCTTAGCCCTTTTTTATTTTGAGACTGTCTTGCCAAGTCACCTAGGCTGCTTCCAACCTCTAGATTCTTCTGTCTCAGCCTCCTAGAAGTCCTTTTGTTAATTCCAAAAAGAAGTTTCATGCTTAAGAGAGGAGCCCGGATATGTGATGAGCTTGCTGTTTGTGTGTGTGTGTGTGTGTGTGTGTGTGTGATGTGTTTTATCAACTCTTCCGTCTAGTCCTTGCTGACCCTCACCCTAATCCTCTTGGGTGTGTGTCTCCTTACAAACTCCAGATAGCATCTTGGGAGCAGGAGGTTAAGTTCTTTATAGGTAGGTGAGCACAGTGTACGAATCCATGACACATACTTGCTAATAACTACTCCAGAATGCAATTGGCAATCAGCTATCACTGTAATATTTGGTAGTTTAGTGTCTCATAAAAATAGAACATTTTGAAAATTCTTGTAGTCCACCAAAATGGTCAGCCTAGTCGGGCTTGCCAAAATGGGGGTGCTGGTGGTGACAGTTAACAACTACAGTTCATTGCATGCCACCTCCGGGGCTCAGTGGGTGGAAACAAGGTCTTCTCCCTCCTGTTCTGCTCCCCTACTGCTTGTCCCTCTCCACTCACTGTGCCCCTACACCCAGAGGCTCACATGGGCAGCAGAGTACAGCACAGTGTAAGGTTCTGTAGCAAGCCATTGTCTCTGCACCTCACAGTGACACCAGCAGCACACATTCTCATCTCCGTCCTACAGGCTGAGTGAGTTCTTTAGATACAGGGGAAATTTCCCCTTTCTTGGGTTTTGAGTGAGACGTGTTCCACCTCTGAGAGCCTTGCTGTCTTTACCTGGCTGCAAAGTAAATGGGCAGCTCTGCCACTTAGCAGTGCCCGTGTGGATGGATCCCTGGGAAGGCAAGGGAGGTGGGGATAGTGAGCCAGACCAGGAAGCTATCAGGTCTCCAAACTGCAGCACAGGGAGTCTCCGTGGGAGATCTGGGAGGAGCTGGGAGTCCTCATTTTTTTTTTTTTTTTTTTTCGTTTTTGGTATCGGGGATCGAACTCGGGTCCTTGCGCTTGCGCAGCAGGCGGCGAAACCACTGAGCTAAATCCCCCACCAGTCCTCATTTCTTTTGCACCCAGGAGTTTCTGTGCTTTTGTCCCAGGAGCAACACGAGTGGGTCCCTCTATTCTCTTCATAAACAGGGCTTTAAGGGTGTGATCTGCTGAGGTGAGGCGGAACTGGACGTCAGGTTACCCTGGTTGACTTCTGTTGGTAGTCAGTAGAGATGAAATCTTGGGATCAAGGGCCAAGGAGGAGAAGGAGTGGCTCTTGTGTGAGAAGGAAGACCACACCCAGCCGGGGTAGGGCTATAGGGGATGAGGCACAACACACAAGGCCTTTGTCTTCATAGCTCAAGGTCACATCTCCCCCAAGAAATTTTGGTTTCCATAAATCCCCGCTCTAACTCATTGGGATGCTCTCTCAATGCACATCTGCAATCAGTCCCATTCATCTTTTCTGCAGAGCACTAACATGGATAATCCTGAAATCTTTTTAAAAAAAATTTCCCTGGAGACTTCATTATTAGGCACATAATATTTTAGAACAGGTGCTTTTTATAGATAATGAAAAAATCTGTTTGCATGTCCAGGCCATACTATGCCCAGAGTCCCAACAGGGAAGAAAGGCAGCCAGGGAGCATCTGTGGAGGGAAGGAATATGTTGGGAGGGTTGGCGCGTCCATGTGAGGTCAGGTGCAGGTGATGAAGAGATGACTAGATTTGGGAGCCTCTGTTGTTAGCAGCTGCAGTGCCTCCTCCGTCAGACTGGGAGCTTCCTGTGGGAGTCGGGGGCCACCAGCAGGAGCCAGAGCAGTCTCGGGCAGGGCTCCCGGGGCCCCCTGAGCCCAATCCAGATGTGATGCGTGTTGTCCCTCAGACAAGCGGAACGGTGGCTACTTCCAGCAGTGGCAGCTCTTGGACCGCATCCTGCAGCAGATTGTCCTGCAGGACGAGCGGGGCGTGGACCCTGACCTGGCCCCACTGGAGAACTTCAATGTCAAGAACATTGTCAACATGTGAGTAATGGCCAGCCATTGACTGTCTTGCCATTTTTCATCTACCTGCCACTCTGGGTCTCTCTGGGGACACCTCAGCTCTCTCAGTCTGGTCAACCCCAAATGGTCATCTTACAGTACAACTCTAAGCATGGGAATGGTTTGTTTCCATACTGTCCAATGAGGTAGCCGAATGCAGTGTATGCCTGGTGTGACTGAGGAACTGAATTTTAAGTTACACTTCATTTAAATGTGAGTAGCAACATGATGTGTGGCCAGAGAGGATCCTATAGTAGGTACAGGTGTACAGGGTATGTTCTCCACTCTCAGTAACCCACTGCATGGGTTGGAGGGGATTTACACACATTTACAGGGTGCACAGGATAACTCCAAGCCTCCATCTTGCTTTTGTGTGACCATGAGCTAAGAACAGTTTTTGTGTTTTATACAGACAGACAAGCACAAGACTATATGACAGGTGTGGTGCATGGAACCTACACTGTCTACTGTGGTCCTCTCTACAAAGCTTGCTGCCCCCTGACACAGCATGGCTATTTGAGCACCAGCCTGGTAATAGGGTGGTCAGAGTTTGCTACTGAGAGACCCTGAATAGAGAGGGATGCAGAGAAATGAATTCAAATTTATATCAGTTAATAATGAGACCTCCCATTAGCACACTAATTTTTAATCTTAACCTTTTTTTTTTTTTTTGGTACCGGGGATTGAACTCAGATCCTTGCACCTGCGGGACAGGTGGTGGAACCACTGAGCTAAATCCCGGCCCTTAATCTTAAACTTTTACTTAACTTTTAATGTCTGAGCTGACTGTCTTTCAGGAGCTACACTCTCTCTCAGAGATTCATTAGATTGCGTCCCAAAGCCAAGTAGAAAAGGAATTTTGAACTCTTCTCGTTTTTATTTGTGCAGTCAGATGGTGACGTATATTGGATGCTTAGTAAAGTAACCAAGAGGCAGCTATGATTTTATTGCCTGCAAGCCCTTTACACTCGGTAGTGGAGAAGCGTTCCCAGCTATCAGAGGCTGACAACCCCTCAGGTCTGATGAATGTTTTGTTCCTCCTTGGGCAAGAATTTCTATGATTTCTTTAAGCTGCTGCATCTAGGAGGGCAGGTTGCAGGTGTAAATCAGCATTCAAGACTGGACTTAGCTTTGCCTCTCTCCTCTACTGGCTGAGGCCAGGAGATTGGAACCAGAAGGGCACTCGTGTTCCAATTTGCGTCTTTTCTCCATTCTACTTCCCCCTGCAACCCTATCTGTCTTCCAGCTGCCTTTCCACTGGCCAACCAGGTTTGGCCTCTTCCAGAGGTATCCTAGGGGCAGGAAGGGCAAATGAAAAGGTCTGAATTGCTCAGGTAATGGAGCAAGCTGGCTTCCTGCTCCCTGGGTTCTGCACCTGGGCAGGCATCGCTGTGCTCCTGGGAGCATCACAGGTTCCTTGCTGGGTGCCAGCTCATGGAGTTTTCCAAGGTGGCTGGCTGCTACCTGCCCTCCTGCCAGGCCCTGGTTCCCTGGTAGCCCATTGCACGCCCACCTACAGTGTTGATGTTCCTAGTTTTCTCCCAGACAGACCCTGGGAAGGACTTCCTGTTGCTCACCTTATTCCCACCATGAGGTTGGCTGTTGCCCATCATAGCCATGGGCAACTCTCACATGCCCTCTCGTGCCTGCCAACTAGGTGCAAGGCGGGTCCCACACAGCGGTGCTAACCTCATCTGTCCTTCACCCTGTGGATTTGCCAGGCCCCGAGTGGGACCCTAATCTACCCTCCTTCCTCCCAGAGCCAGGGAACATGGGGCAAAACTCTGGGAAGGACCAAAGAAAGCCCTTCCCTGGATGGGGGTAAAGGATGTAGCACCCCAAGGATCAGGGCAGTGGCTCCCTCCAAAGAAATCTCAGCACCAAATCCTGGCCCCTCTTCATGCCCTGTCCCCTCTTTATATCCTCGATTTGGTTGAGGCCAAAAGTCATGGATCTGACCCATCACATTTATAAAATAAATGATTCTTAGGAATCTCACCTTGGGATTTTACCCTTGGTGTACCCGCTGTCTAGGTTTAACTCCTTGTTACAGGAGTCTGACCTACATGAGGCCCTGCTAGTTTTTCAATAGTTTTCCCTCACCCTCTGCCCCCTCCTGTGCTGTTGGGCAGGGGCAGTTTTTCTGGCTTTTACATGCTGGTCTTTGGAAGCCTTGGCTGTGGTAGGGCTGGTATTTCTTTCTCCCAGATGCATGGACCTATTTTCACAAGGGGCATAATAGTTTGTATAACTAAGGGAAACTCGAGATTTAGTCCCAGTTCTGCTGTTAACTGGCTCTCATCCCCATCTGGTCCCTGAACCTCAGTAGCTTCACCCGTAGCACAAAGGGATTGGATCGAGGTCGTTCAGGGTCCTTTCTGCTCTCGTGGTCCAAGGGGACACATAATAATAACTGGGCAGGAATGACACCTGGAGAGACATCTGGAATGTCAGAATGCTAGTCTCCTGGGCATGGCTGCACAGATCGGAGACCATGGTCCAACCTGGCCTGGAGAGCTGTCTTCCGGAAGTGGTCAGCTGATGGCCAGCAGCCACGTTGCCCCTCCCCTCTTCTGCACCCAGGCTCATCAATGAGAATGAAGTTGAACAGTGGCGAGAGCAGGCAGAGAAGTTCCGGAAAGGTGAGCAGCCCTGCCCAACGTGTGTGCAGCCCACGCCTCCTCCACCACCCCGGCCAGCCTGGGTCCCCACTGCCTCCCCCAGGAAGAGCACCCATGGTCACTTTGTGTCCTCCCAGAGCACCTGGAGCTCATGAGCCGGTTGGAGAGGAAGGAGCGGGAATGCGAGACGAAGACTTTGGAGAAGGAAGAGATGATGCGGACGCTGAACAAGATGAAGGACAAGCTGGCCCGAGAGTCCCAGGAGCTGCGCCAGGCTAGGGGACAAGTGGCAGAGCTGGTGGCACAATTCAGTGAACTCTCAGTATGTGGACACTTTTTCCTCCTTTATGTGGCTCAGCACAGACCTGGGCTGCAGAACGGTGGGGAAGCAGGTGTATGGTGGAGCCAAGGACCCTATGATGAAGGAGAACAGGAACTGGGGGCTCAGGCCAGGACCCAAGGGACCATCGGGGATGTCTGGGTCCCTCTGGGTCGGTTAGAAAACACTGTGCCCCTTCCTCTGATGACACTGTCCCAGGAAGCCCACCTTGGACAGCAGAGTGCAGGGGGGATTTCTGCTCCCCTCACCCTCTCAGTTTAAGCTTTCAGTAGCCTGTACACTTGTATGTATCCATCCCGCTATTTCTCTGGGATGACAGCGACTCTGATTGTCCAGTGTCCACGTGTATTTGTGTGTGTGCCTTTGTATCTTACTGTGTAGGGGGTTGGATAGGTGGGATGCAGAGAGAGAAAAATGGGAGTGGGAGATGGGAGGCTGACCCAGAGTCTTGTGTAGACAGAGGAGAAAAAAGGAGAGGGAGGGTGCCGAGGGAGCTGCAGGTTCTGTGCTGATGGCTTTGTCTTTCTGGTTTTCTGTCCCTCACAGAGAGGCCCTGTATCCGCCCCACCTCCCCCCGGAGGCCCACTCCCCTTGTCCTCCTCCGGGACAGCTGATGACCCGCCTCCGCCCTCACCCCCTCTCGCCTTTGCCTGCTGCTCCCCGCCGCCTCCGCCCCCCCTTCCTCCCGGTGGGCCTCCCACTCCCCCGGGCGCTCCGCCTTGCTTCGGCCTCAGCCCAGCCCTCCCTCAGGACCCCTTCCCCAGCAGTGATGTCCCACTCAGGAAAAAGCGCGTCCCACAGCCTTCCCACCCGCTGAAGTCCTTCAACTGGGTCAAGCTGAACGAGGTGAGCAGCAAGGATGGGACAGCAGCACGGGGCTTGCCACCTGTGGGGGGCGCTGGTCCCTCCCTGTGCTGTCCTGGGTAGGACGGCGAGGGAGGTCACAGGGGTCATCCGACATAGGTTTGCTGGAGCCAGACAGCTCCTGGCCTGCTGGAGAACAACCACACCTGGAAAGTCACTTGGCACATAGTGGCAGTGCTCCTGTTGGTGGAGCCACACTTGAGTGTGCTGGGGGTGGGCAGAGTAGCGGAAGTCAGAGCCCAGGTTAGGCTGTGGCCTACACAAGCCTGGGCTGGGACCCAGCACTGCCAAATAAAACAAGACAGGGCTAGGCTGGAGTTTCAGGGAGATGCACAATTGGGGTACAGGGTAGACATTTCAGGGCAACAGCTTGGGCTGGGCTTCGCATCCTGGTGAAGACTAGGACATGTGTACCAGGGACTAAGCGTTTGGCAAGATGTAGCCATGTGGCATCCATGGCGGTGGGGGGGGGCACATTGGTCATGTTCTAGAGCACAAGGGTCCAATCTTTTGGCTTCCTGGATGGCATGGAGCAAAGAGCGATTGTTGGGCTGAATATATAATATAACGTGGTTCATGTATACGGGCAACGGGGCTTCCTTAATTGATATTTTAACTTATCATTTTACAACCAAATAACACAGCAAGCTGAAGTTTAATAATTAAGTAAGCAAACTTACATATCTGTCTAATAACAATAAATGGCTGCCTTCACGGGTGCTCACATCTGTAGGTCAGCTGAGATACTATGGTCAGTAATCGCTGTGTTTTGGCCACGTTGCACAAGCACATGTAAAATTTGGTACACGTGGGTTTCAGTGCAATTGGCCACGTGTGGGGCTCAGGCCTGCACGCCTCCTTCCTCTCCTCCTCTGTTGCCTACATGATCTACATAGTCTACCTACATAGGCACCACCATCCAGTCGTCAAAGATTGCACTCCAAATCACGTAGTAATGTTAAAGGTGACGATACCGTGTGGCACTGTTACGAGATGTCCAGGCCATGCACAGACCTAGACCGACAGTGAGAGGCCTTCACGAGCATTATCCAGATAATCCCCAGACCCAGGCTCACGAGTAGGAGCTGATTCCTGTCTTGGACTCTAGTGAGCTTAGAGAAAGTGTGGGTCTCGGTGGACCCCTACTGCTCGAACACCCTGGACAAAGTCTTGGCCCTGGTTCTATATGATGGTGGCTCCTACTCAGAGGGCTGGTGGCTTTGTCCCTTCGGTGAACACATGCATTGCCATGGGTTTCTGTTGGCTCAGCCCATACCCACACTCCAGGCTCAGCCATGCAGAGCTGGGGCTTGTGGATACACTCAGACCCTCTTACATGGACCCGTTGGACTCACTCGTGGGGAATTCAGTTACCTTGCATGTGAGTTTCAGTGAGCTCAGGGAAGAGGTGGTGAAGTAGACCAGGGAATGAAGTGGGTGGTCAGCTGTGTGCTAGATGCCGCCCTCTGGTGGTGGACCATAGATGCCGCTGCGCTGGGAGAGTTTAGGATTTGTCACATTAGGAAGTGTATTCAGGAAACACCTAGAGATCCAGGGTAGGGGCTGAAGGGGAGGGTCTGACCTCAAACCAAACCTATGGAAATCATTCAGCTCCCTCCCTTCTGGAATGATCTCCAAGATTCCGTCCACCCCTGTCTGTGCAATCTGGGTGGAAACATGGAGAATGAATAGAGCCCGTTCCTAGTCTCCGGGGCCTCTGAAAACATGTCCATGTGAGCTATGGCAGCTTTGGAGCCAGGTTGGTCAAGCTTGTAGCAATTGCATGCACGGCTGTGCCCTATGGGTGCTGCTGCCTGGCCAGAAAGACCAACTGCTCATGTGCAGGCTCACTGCTTCCAGAACCAGAAGCTGGAGGCTGTGCAGAAATGTTTGTGAGCAGAGATGATGTTATTTTTATTGTGGTGAAAAAAAAGACTTTTTTGGGCTTCTGTATTACAAGTTAAAAATGAGGCGAGAGATTATACTGCAACGTTTGTCAGTGGCGGCTGAGGTGTATAGACAGGGTAACTAATAATTCTGTGACCTTTTCATATAGGGAGCTTTGTGCTTAGCCTGGGGTCCAGGAATAGTGACGTCTGCATGAATCCCTGATCACTCTGAGGTGGCCAGTGTCATTCCTGGACTGGAAAGTGGACAGAGTAGATGATGAGGAGCATTTTTAGAAATGGTAGACATAAGCCTGGGATTTAGCTCAGTGGTTTCACTGCCTGCTGCGCAAGCGCAAGGACCCGAGTTCGATCCCTGCTACCAAAAAAAAACAAACCAAAGAAATGGTAGACATTTGGGCAGGAGATGGGTAGAGGGGCAGTGAGTGATATGTGGGATCCTGCTAGCCCATCCCACTGGTGTGCCAACAGTAGGTTATTTTATAGTTTGGGCTTCAGGTTCTGACCTGTAAAATGGCGACAGTGACGATATTCATCTCAAGAGATGGCTGTGAGGATTGTCTGATTTAATGCAGATATTCCTCCTTGAATGACCTACCTGTTTAATGACTGAGGCATGCTATTTGAACTTGCAACCTGCCCTGCCACTTGGACTTATGACTTGCCTTTTCTTTTTTTTCTTTTTGTACAGTTCTGTACATCTTGTTGATACAGCCTCAATGTCTTTTTTTGTGCAGTACACCTTGTTTGTACAGTACTGTAATTTTTGCTGATTATACCTTATAGCACTGTAGTTTTATGATGTGTTATACATTACAGTACTGCGTGTAAGACTTATGCAAATAAAAGCAAAGTCACCAGGTTGGAGTTTCCTTTGACCATTTCTTTGTTCTGAATATTGCAATGTATATACTACATACAATTCCTCATTTAATGAGCAATGCATTTAATGGCTCAGTTGTAGGACCGGAACTCAGTCATTAAATGAGGAATGTCTGTATACATAAAGTATTTGGAACAAAGACTAACACACAGAAAGTCTTAGTAACACTGCTAGATTAGTTACTGTTAGTGGCATTACCATGCATGCTTGAATCCTCATATCAGCACAGTGAGGTGAGCAGCTCCGAGATTCTGTTTCCCTTCACATGACATAGGGTAAGAATGGCACCCCTCCGTTTGCCCATAGGCCCACATAATGGGAATGTCGGCCAGCTGGGCTGCCTAGCCAGCCCCCAAGGCCATGAATGCTCTTTAGGGGAAAAACATAATGACTTACATTCCTGAGAAAGATTTCCCTGGTAGTTAGAGGATGTCTCCAGAGGGCCAGACTTCCCGGCACTCCAGACTGCAGATGGCAGGATCTTGGGCAGAGTAGTGAAGAACCTAAATTCGAGAATCATGAAAATAGGTGGGCACCCAGAGGGGCGTGGTAGAGATTAAGATGTGGTGACCATCGGAAAAGGCCCACCTCTCTCTGGCTCTGGGCTTCAGTCATCCCTGCAGCTCCTTTGGGCAGGTGTCGGGGAAGATGTAAGAGAGGGTGGAAAACACCTGTCTGTTGTCCTGTGGAAGTTCTTCCTGCCCCTTCCTTCCCCTGGCCCCACCAGGAAGGAGGGGATGGAAAGCTTTGGCTCAGAACCTGTGCCTCACGCTGCCCTATCTGGACCTCCATGGGGGATTCCCACTCCATGGGCTGGGGACTCTGTGTCACTCGGCGCCTCCTACTCACACAAGTCTCCATCCCATCCCCTCTCTGCTTCCCGTGTCCCCATTTCCTGGTACCCAGAACCTCTCCCCAGTCTCCTCTACCCCATGCATGCTCCTTTGCACATGCACGTGTACACACACACACACACACGCACACGCACACGCATGCTCGCTCAGAATGGTTGTTTCTACCATGAGAAGAATGTGTCTGTGTTGGGTTTGGCCAGTTGCCTGTATCCTTTGCTGCTCTGAGCTTCTCAGCCCGGCATTCCACATGAGGGTCCCTGGCCTTCGGAAGGCCACAGGAATGTCCCCACCCCCTGACTCTGGCCTAGCCTCCCCTTTTCAGAGTTTAGGAAAATAAAAGTGAGTGAAAGGTATGCTTCTTTCTGCAGGCCTTCTGAGGGGGAGATGGCGGGAGGAGGTGGCGGTGGGCAGAAGGTCTGGCTGCCCCCACAGAGGAAGCCGGAGAGTCCCTTTCCGGGAACAGCAAGCTCCGGAAGAGTGAGGATCCCAGGAGGAGCTGGAGGGGTCCACTGGGGGCTGGTGTTCTGCACTTGGAGCTCTGTGCCTGTCTTCTTGTCCTCTAAGCCATCAGCAGGCCCTTGTGAGAACTCTGGGACATTTGGGGGCTTGGCCAACAAAGAAACCTTTGTCGATACCAGTGCAGGGGTCCTACCCAGAGACGGGGCAGTGCTTCCGTGGAGTGTCCTTGCACCGTGACACTGTATGCCCTTCCCGGTCATGAAGGATGGGGATGCCCTCCTGCGTCTGACCCACAGGAAGTTGTGCCTCAGCCTTACTGGTCTGAGCAGAGTCACTCCAGGGCCCAGGCTGTCCTAACCTTTGGTGTGGATCCATTTTCTGGAATCTGGGAAAGTAGGAGCAAAATGCTGGGAAAGAAAATGACTGTCTCAGATATGGGAAATGCAGAGGCTTAGAGAGTCCCAGATGTGTGTGGGTCCGGCCAGTGACAGCCACACAGCAGCACCTGCAGGGCACTGTACAGATCTGGCCTGTGCGGAGTGCTGGAGCATTGCTTTGCTTTTGCTTTTCTGGGAGGTGCACAGTGTGTCCCTTTTCCTACTTGCCCACTCATTGCTCAGCACCTCAGTGAATCTGGGACGTGGTTCCATGTGGCCCCGGGTGAAAAGCAGGAGAAGGAAAGTGTCTTGGCCTCTGTCCTGGAGCAGAGTGTTGAAGAGGGGCAGAGGTTTGGAGTGGGGAGTGCCGCCCTTTCTGAAGGTCCCAAAGCCTGGCCACTGGAGTACGTGCTGTTGGGGGATAGCTGGGGTCAGTGCAGTGCTGGGCGTCTCCATCATGAAGGAACTGAGCCAACGGGGGTCTCCTCTCTACCCCAAATCTTAGGAGCGGGTCCCTGGTACCATATGGAATGAGATTGATGACATGCAGGTATTTCGGATTCTGGACCTAGAGGATTTTGAAAAAATGTTTTCAGCCTATCAGAGGCATCAGGTAAGACCTCGCCCCCTCTGGCTGCTTGGGTCTCAACTTCCACACGACACACCCCTTGAACTTGAACCTTCGCCCTTTCCTCCCTCCCTTTCTCCCTTTCTCCCCCGCTCCCCTCCTCCCTGGCTGCTTCCTTCTCTCCCCCTCTTCTCCCTTGCTCCCTCCCTCCCTTCTTCCCTTCCTTGCCCATATACTGAACAACTCGATTCTCTGTGGTACCACACTCCTGTGGACGACGTGGCTCTAGGAACTGGAGGTGTGTGGCCGCAGTGCATCACAGCTGATATTCACTCAGCCACGGATGAAATGGCCTTTTGGCCCTTTCTCTCTTATGACCCAGAGCCCTGGAGGTGGGATCTCAAGGCCTGGCCACCGTTGCTCCCTGCTGTCTTTGGCCTAGGACTCACAGATGATACCTAGGAGTCATTGTAACTTTTCAATCCATGTTGGCCACTGTATTCTCCTCTCCCAACACCTCACGTGTCCACGGAGCAGAGGTTTCTGCTGGGAGGGGGCTGAAGGTCTCTGCTCCTTGTCATTGGGGAGCCCAAAGGCCCATAGAGGCCTTGGCCTACCCTACGGGCTCTAGGCACACACACCCGGCCCGTGAGTCTGAGCCTGCAGCCCCACAAAGGTTTGGGGCTTGGGCAGGTGGCCGAAAACAGGGCATTCCTGAGGCATGGGCCTCAAACTATGCCAGGAAGGAGCTGTGCCATGGGAATTGCCAAAAATGCTGATTCTCAGAGCTCTCTTTCAAATACTGGATGATTCTAGAGATGAGTGTGGGCCCAGGAACCCCAGGGTAGCTGCATGCTGGGGGCCCTTTGCTCCAGTTTGGGAATGATTGCCTGAAGGTCCTTGCTTTCCCTGACCAGCCTGCTCCGGGGCTGCTTCCCCTGGGCTTGGGCTGTCATCTTCCTGGTTTCCCTGCTCAGCCTGGGTTCACATCCAGGACTCCAGTACCGGTGGGGAGGCCTGGAAGGGACGCCCTGGCCTGCTTTTCCCAAGTCCAGCCCCATGGATGACCCTTCCCTCGGGCAGTCAGGGCCCAGGACCCATGGGACTACATCTCCAGCCCTGTCCTGGGGTCCTAGAAAAAAGATTTAAATGTGGTGTCTGAGGCGTCTGATTCTCTGTTCCTAATTCCGGGAAGCAGTGTAGACCTTGCCGTGATAGGGCAGGCGTGGCCCCAGGCCCCACTGAGGCTCCGGAGCTGGAAGGATTCTGTAGCCCTGTGCTTCTCAGAGTCAGAGCTCCAGTGGGACAGAGGAGCATGTGGGTCTGGCATGGCGGTCACACATCTCCCTCTGGCCTGAGTGTCCCTTCACGCTATACGTCCGGCCTGGCCTGTCCAGCCTACAGAGAGCGGGGCGCAGGGGCAGTTGGGGGAATGGGTGTGGGGTTTAGGTCAGACCAGGTCTGGTCTCTCCCGGCTTGCTGAGTTGAGCTGAGATTGGAAGACTCTAGCAGTCCTCTCGGAGCCCACTCAGCAGGCTGAGGCTGCCTTGTCTCGGTGACTGAAGCCACAGCAGCCAAGCAGGAGTGAGCCCAGAGGTGGCGTTGGGCTAGTCACCTCCTTGTCCCATCCTGGGGCCCCAGGAAAGAGGTCGTGGGAGCCACAGCTGTCCCTCCGTGCCCGAGGCAGGTTCCGAGCTGGTGATGTCAACTCCCTTGGCATCAGAAAGGGAGGTATGGGCTGGGCCTCCTCGGCTCCCTTAGATGTTGCAGGACAGATGAGGGCAGGGAGCAGACTCAGGACACCTACTTTCCGCTCTGTCCCTCCTGTCTCTGCCACACAGGAAAGGTGAACTCACTTCGGGCAGATTCTCAGCAGAGGAGAGGAAGAGCAGGACAGGCAGGCCACGGGGTGGGGACGCCGGGCTTCCCTGGGGTCCCCCGGTCCAGTGTATGCAGGAGGAGCTGGCTGCCCTCTGCTTGTTTGGCTTCTCTGCGAGTGCAGTACTGCTTTGGGGTTCGTGTCTCCAAGCATGGGGTCTCATGGGGTCAAGGTGCACAGAGTAGCTGCTAGGACCCCCACACCCATCCCGCTCTTCCCAGTAACCGAACCTCTGACTAACGTTGTGCATGTTTAATTCTCTGTCACCTGTGGCTGCTGCCTGCCTAGGAGCTGATAACTAATCCTTCTCAGCAGGTGAGTCACTCTGGGCTCTGAACCTTCCGACTCTCAGCCTCTGCCTGGGCTCTGGCCCTAACCGGGGCCCAGCAGTGAGGGCCTGTCCATGTCACCCCCTGCCTTCTCAGCCATGTAGGGTGGCACGTAGGAGGGCCCCTGGAGTGACAGGAAGCTTCTAGATTTTTGAGCTTACCAAGGCCCAAGGCAAGCAAGGCATTCTGTAAGGCTGCTCAGGTTGGGCACTGCACAATTCCAGGGGCATAATTCACGTAGATGGTGGTGTGCGTGGTGGCCCTGGAGTTGTGTAGTGTGGAGCATGGGCTTGGAGGAAGTGTCTAGAGTAAGAATGGTCCACTGCTTAGCCACCTGCCTCCACTGCCAGGGCCCCGAGAGGGAGAAGGGGTGAGATCTTAGATTTCTTGAGAATCTGCCAGCTGTACTCCAGAGAAAGGAACTCTGGGTGGAATTCTGCCTTGGTCTCCACCCTGCTGACCTTGTGGGTGCACGTGGGCTATACCTGAAGTGCCCAGGAGTCAGGAGCTGTGGCCTTTGGATGGGCTTCTCACCCTAAGCCTGGGAGGCCCTCTGGGTGGGGCAGTGGGAGTTGGTCCTGCAGGGACCGAGGTGGGCCAGGTCACCTTGCTGATGCTGCAGTGTCAGCCTCATCTTGCCCGTCCACCAGATGTTTCCCCAGGGGGCCATAGCCTGATCTCTAACCACGGGTTCTGCATGCACACCCTGTCCGTCTCTGGTCCAGGATAAAGCCCCCGATCCAGGCTGTGAGAGTCAGCTCTGAAACACCCTCCTCTCTTGTCCTTTGTCTGTCTCTGTCTCTGTCTCTGTCTCTCTCTCCGTCTCTGTCTGTTTCTTTCTTCCTCTCTCTCTCTCTCTCTCTCTCTCTCTCTCTCTCTCAGGAGCATCCCCAGGTTGGCAGGAGGGTGGCTTCTGGGGATGGGCAAACAGAGGACTAGGGAGAACCCGCCCCTCAGTCCTTCCCCTTGGCTCCTTGTTTGCAGAAAGAGCTGGGCTCCACCGAGGACATCTACCTGGCCTCCCGCAAGGTCAAAGAGCTGTCGGTCATTGACGGCCGGAGGGCCCAGAACTGCATCATCCTCCTCTCCAAGTACGTGCTCTCCCGGGAACCTGTTCTGGGAGTTCCTGGTGGGAGAGAAGGGGGTTGGGGGTGGCTCTCTGGGGTGAGAGGGGGTCCAGCTGAGTGCCTTGGGAGCAGTGATCGCAGCCTCTGCTGCACTCCAAGGCCCTGGCTGGGCCCTGGGGAGGGGCAGTCACAGATCTAGAGCCCTGTGCTGGGAACCCCATGGAGCCGCAGCCTGGGGCTCTGTAGGCTGGAAACTGCTGGCGGCTGAGTCGCTCAAAGCCCACAGAGGGCCCAGCTTGGCTTAGGCCACTGAGCACCATGATCTCAGCCCCCAAGCATTTCCCGGGCTGCAGAACAAACAGGGCAGTATCTGCTCTAACAGCACAGCTTCTGTGCAGAGCCACCCCAGAGCCAGGGTCAGGGGGCACCGCCTCCCTGCTATGCTGAGTGCCGCCCCCAGCACCTCTGCAACATCTGCCCCCACTTCTACCTCCCCCAGGGCCTCAGTTTCTCCTCTTGGGGGTGGGGGCCGTGCTGAATCCCCAGAGCTCCCCACAGTGTGCACACCGGAGGACACACAGGGCTGTGGGGGTGCCCTTAGGTGTCTCACCAAGCCCCTCCCAGAGGGGAGCCACACCACTCAGAGCAGCTGTGTGGGAGCTCAGGCACCCTTAGGGACTGAGTGCCATTCTGTCTCCTGAGAAGGGGGCAGGAAATGGTCCCCTCAGGGGCCTGTTGAAGTCCCATCCCATGCAGATGCTGTAGATGTTTTAGGGACAAGGAGAAAGAGGATCAGAAACCCTTTGCCCTGCGCCTTCAGTCCCTACCGAAGGTGTCCCTTTTCCCTCCAAATGCCCCCCTCATTTCTGACCAAGCATCAAACAACACACCAGGGGCTCAAGCCTTGCTTTAGAAATAAGATGCTCATCACTGCGTATGCAGAGTGAGTCCTGTTAGATCAGTCTGAGAAGAAGGTTTTGCAGAGGAGGGGGAACCACGAAGTGCTCCTAAGTCCACATTAGGGAGAGAGCAGAGGATGAGGCCATGTGGCCTGGAAAGGAAGGGTTGGAGGCTGCCCTGGGCCCAGGGGCCAGGCTGCTCAGGGTAGACTTTGCCTCAGGTTGAAGCTTTCTAATGAGGAGATCCGGCAGGCCATCTTGAAGATGGATGAGCAGGAGGACCTCGCTAAGGACATGCTGGAGCAGGTGAGGACCAGAAGGGAGCTGAACCTGGGGGCAGCTGCACCCCCTCCCTGGAGCCCCCAGAGAGTCTGAGACTCTTGGGTCCAGGAGAGACCAAGCTGGGGGAGTTGGAGAGCTGGTTTCTAGAAACTTCCCTGGTTAAGCTTTTCTGAAGAAAGGCTGGCAAAAGCTGCCAGGGATCTCTGAGAAGGCTGTGGAAGGAGATTTGAAGTAAAATCTTTCTTAGGTCACAAGCCAAAGTCAGGGCAACAGTAGCCACTTCTCCAAATCTCATCTACCTCTATTTGTTGTGTTCTTTAAGAGAAACCTAGAAAACACCAAGCAAAAATAACATCAATTAAAAAGAAGAACCTACTGTCTATCAAAAGGGAGGACAGTATTACTAGAGTGAGAAGACAAGCCAAACCTTAGAAGGTAGCTACCACACGCGCACGCATACACACACACACACACACACACACACACACACACACACACGTAACAAATATTTCACCTTCACAATAAAGAACTCTACAAATGAGAAAACGGCAAAGCAATTTAAAAATGAGCAAAAGACTTGAACAGACACTTTATGAAAGAGGATGTCTAAATGGCTGGTGAACATTTGTAAAGAGCTCAATCCTCTTGGCCCTCAGAGAAATACAGCGAGCCACGGTGAGAAAGCTACCCATGCAGCAGAATATTAAAATTTTAAAAACTGATAGTGCTACTTGCTGGCAAGGATGTGAAGTGATTGGCATTCTTATTGGTACAATTTCATTGTGGAAAACTACTTGGCAGAGCACATTAAGGCTGAACATACCCCTACCCTATTGCCTGGTAACCTCACACTTAGGTATATACTCAAGAGAAACCAGTGTAAACAGTGGCTAAAAGACACAAGAATATTTATAGCAACTTTATTTGTAAAATCCTGTATTCATACAGTAGAATACAAGCAACAAACAAAACAACCAAGACTCAGCATGGATGACTCTTGGGCATTAGATTGTGTGAAAACAGCCAGATGTAAAAAAGGAACATAGAATGTTGCAGCCTGTTTTCTGTTGCTATGGCAAAATACATGAGATTGGTTAATTTGGCCCAGAAAGTCCGAGAGGTTTCACGCCAGCATCTGGTAAGGGGTATGTGCTGCGTCACGTGGTAACTTGGAGCAAGCATCCTAGCTTGAGTCTCTTATAAAACCACTAATGCCATCATGGGGACCCCATCCTCATGACTTCAACTTAATCCTGATTATCTCTCAGAGGCTTCATTACCAGATGAAGCTGGGGGGACACATTCACAATGTAGCATACAGTGTGAGTTCATTTATACAGAGTTCAAGAGCAGACGAATCTATAGAATTTGGTAGACAGATCTGGTAGAATTCAGTTGAGGCTATATTGGGCGGTGGGGGTGGCTTTCTGAAGTGAAGCCAAAGATCTTTCTAAGAGGAGGGGAATATTTTGTATCTTAGTCTTGTGTTTCAGTGGGTGGAGGGTTTTGACAAAACTCAATGAGCTACCCATTTAAAATGCGTGCGTTTTATGTAGATCATATCTCCATAAAGTTTGCTTAAAAACAAAAGTTATTGAACTGTGTACTTCAGAATAGTGTACTTTGTGTGTAAGTTGTAGCTCATTTTAGGAGGCCAAGCAAATCAAGACGTGAAGAACTAGGTGCGCTGCCACCCCCTTCCTAGCAGATCTGTCCACACGAGGGACCCTCTGACCATCCACCCCTACACCCTCGGATCTGCTGTTCCCCAGTTTCCTGTCTGACAGGCACCTACTCTTTGCAGCTCCTCAAGTTCATCCCCGAGAAGAGTGACATTGACCTCCTTGAGGAGCACAAGCATGAGATTGAGCGGATGGCCCGTGCTGACCGCTTCCTCTATGAAATGAGCAGGTTGGGGCTGCAGGGGAGGGGAGAGGGGCTGGGCTTGGGCAGGTGGGCTCTGGTGGCCGGGCAGGGTGGGAGGTGAGCAGGCTCAAGAGGAGGCAGAAGCTGCCTTCTTGCCCGGTTGGTGGCTGCCTGGTGACATAGCTCACCTGCCCACAGGATTGACCACTACCAGCAGCGACTGCAGGCCCTGTTCTTCAAGAAGAAGTTCCAGGAGCGGCTGGTGGAGGCCAAGCCCAAAGTGGAAGGTAGGGCTGACAGTGGGAGGAGGCCTGGGGTGGGGAGGCGTCTGGGGGACCTATGTGCGGAGGCAGAGGGAGATGCCTTCCTTATTCTTAACCCAAAAGAAAAATCAATTTCAAGGGCAGAATGTAAAACTATGACCATGACAGGAAAAATGCCCTGGTTTCTATTGGCACGTGTGCCAACCTTGTGACACATTCTATGCCTCAGCACTGGGACCCTGCAGGGAGGGGCGTCTGATGGCATCTGGGCCAGCGTGGGGCAGAAAGGATGCACAGATACACAGCCATGCCTGGCATGCACGCCTGGCTCCCTCTGTATCTAGCTGAGGTCCCAAGCACATAGGACACTTCCAGGGATATCATTTTAAGTGTGAGCCACCCAGAAACTGGGAAATTGTGTGAAGTGATCCGTGGAGGTGCCTGACTTTCTCAAACAGGAAAATCCTTCTAACACAGGATGTTTCCAGATGAGAAATGTGTAATTTCTGGGGCCCCTGGACCTAGTGCTATGTGAAACACCATATGTGAATGGTCTCATTGGGTCCCCACAAGAACCTTGGGGGTGGGTGCTGTCATCACCCCCATGGGCCTCCTTTCTCTGTCTCTAATGTGGGCTGTGGTAGTCACCGTGGTATGGATGGGTGATGGAGCCAGGATAGGAATCCAGGTGTTGCTCAGTGGGCATTTCCTTGGGGCTGCCTGTGGGGTGGTGGGGGAGGCTGTGGGAAAAAGCAGGAAGGCATGATGGTGGGCAGAAGGGGTGAGGCTGGCTGGCTCATTTGGGGTGAGGACGGGATCACAGAGCAGAATAAACCATGTCCAGATTCTGAGGGTGCGGGGCCAGGGGCCGAGCAGCACATGGCGCCCCCTGTTGGACACGAGGGGCAGTCAACACTCCATGAGATGCCAGTCCAGAGAGAGGCAGGCTGTTCCTGGGGTCCAGTGGGCTGCTTTGGGGAGGATGGAGCGTGCAGAGCTGGAGGCAGATATTTTTGGTAACCTGCACCCCGTTTCTTACACACACACACACACACACACACACACACACACATACACATACATATAGTGTGCTCCCTCACACAGCCAAGGACCTGCAGGCTATGATCATAATCAGCCTGAGGGCCAAGGGAAAATATCAGGAGTTTCTGTCTGGCTGTTTCTCTTTGTCCCAGTGGTGATGGGTGGATCTTTATCTTCATCTCCACTTTCTGCTATAGACTCAACTATCTGTGTGTCTCAGGTTAGTTGAGTAAGTGTGTGCAGTTGCCATTTAGGGCTAAGGAAGCAGAGTAGCTTCACCATGAGGAGGGCCTAAGCCCAGCAGCCTCCTCCTAAACTCCCCCGAAGAGCAGTGCATGCTGTCTAAAGTCTCCTTTTAATATCAAGCTACACAGAACAAGATGTGCTGATGAGAACAAAATTGCTAGGGAAAATTGCTCTTCTATAGCTGTCCTCTGGGAGATTGGGTCGCCTAGAGCAATGGCCACTGTCCCCGAATGGCCCAAGGGTGAGGTGGGGAAGAGACGCCTGAAGTTGTTTGAGGTGTGATTGAAATATATTGTGAATATTTACATTTTAAAAATGTATTACAGTAAAAGACATTGGCATGAATCCCCCTCCAAAAATCCCTCTTGCTTCAAACACACGCATCCCATCCTTCTTGCCATGTTCTGAAGCAGCTCTGGAAGTCCTCTCTCATGAGTGTCTTCAGTTGTGCTGTTGTAGCTGCCACTGTGCCCAGAATTGATTCAAAACATTTACCTTTCATGGTCATTTTGGCTTTAGGGAAGACTCAGAAGTTGCATGGTGCCAGACCTGGAGAATAAGGTGGATGGAGATACAGTATCACGTATTTACAAGCCTGCTTTTCCACAGGGTGGCACTTGGCAGCAGCATTCACTGTATTTTTGATCACAGCTTGTGAAAACACTCACCAAAGAGGGCTTCCAGAGCTGCTTCAGAAAGAGGCAAGAATAATGGGATAAGTGTTCAAAGTGAGGGGGAAGATTTGGAGGGAAATTTATGACAATATGTCTTTTATGGTAATGAATTGCTTTATACAATTTAAACCCTCACTGTGTATGTTGATCATACCTGGTGTAGAAGTGGACCAGTGTGGTCATCTGAGTTGAAGAGCAGAGGATTGTGGAGGAGTTGGGATCCCTAGTCCTCCTCCTCCTCCTCCCTGGGGAAGATGCTCCTGAAGGAGCTAAATTTAGCCTGTCCCAGCAGGGTCCTGAGCTGTTGACACCCACTCTTCCTTCCCCCAGCAGGGGCGTGGCTCTGGGTCAATTTGCCAAAAGCCAATGCTCCACAGGTGACAGATTTACCAGTTTTTCTGTAAATATGTTCATGATCGTATTCTTGGCTATCTTCTCCTTATGAATATGTTCATTGCCTCCTATGCCAAATTCACTGATTCGTATTGTGAGTGCGTTTATTGAACAGAGTCAAGATGAATACGCTTGCAAAAGTAATATTCTCATGAATGTATTCATGGATATATTATTATTGTGAATGTATCTAAAATATCCTGGTTGCAGATGGGAGTTTTCTCATTTACACTGATTTCCTTTGAATTCTTGTCATTTTCTGTTTTGCCAACAGTTTAGCATTTTTTAGGAGGCTTCCTTTGCAAATTTTTCAAACAGAAAATCAGCCTTACCAAAGCCATCCCAAGAAATATGAATTGCTGGAAACTTTTATGAGTAATTATTTTTCCAAATAAACTTTTTATTGAAGTATGATGTGCATGTATATAAATACAGAAATCCTAAGATTTGATGCATTATTATGAAGTGAAACCCCACATGTGACTGACAGGTCAAGACATGGAATGTTTTTAACCCCAGAAGCCTCTTCCTATCCTTCTCCCAAACACATCCCTCCCCCTCCCTCTAAGGAGAGGAGCTATCTTGACTTCTAGATCACTTTTGTCTGTTTTGAACTTTATATACATGCAATAATATGGTATGAATAATTTTATGCTGGCTTCTTTTGCTTATTATTATCGTTGTGAGTTAATCCCCAGTGGGGAATTCATTTTCAGTGCTGCATTTTACTCCATTCTATAATATACATAATTTACTCTTTCCATTTATAATTTAAAAAAAATTGGAAACAGCTCAAATATCCACTAAGAGTGATGTTGCTTTTAGGTCATAGAGTATGCATATGTTTAACTTAGGTGCAACAGACAAAACTCATTTACGGCTTCTTTTGTACAGTTACTTATTTTTAACTGCTTTTGATGTTTTCTTCAGACTTTAGTTGAGTGGGTTTCCTTTTATCTTCTGTATTGGTCAGCTTTCTGTTGCTATGACTCAAATGCCTATGAAAAAAAACTTAGAGGATCAAATATTTATTTGGCTCATGGTTTCAGAGTGTTCAGTCCATGGTCATGCAACTCCAAGGCAGAAACATCATGGTGGAAGGGCATGGTAGAGAAAAGCTGCCTACCACATGGTAGGCAGGAAGCAGAGAGCAAAAGAAGAGCCAGAGGGGAAGGAGGTGGGAGCCAGTTATAGTCTTCAAAGACCCAGTAACCCTATTTTCAACTGGGCCTCATCTCTTAATAGCCCATTCAGCCATGAGCTCACCAGTGGATTAATCCATTGCTGTCTTGATGATCAATCCTTGATACATGAGTCTTTGGGGTATTTTATATTGAAACTATAACATCGTGATAAGCAACATTAGGAATTTTCTGTTTGGCATTAGCTAAAAGTCTTATCATTAATTTTAATATTCAGAAAACATATTCTATAACTAGGAGCCAAAATCTCAGTGTAGGAATTTGAATCCACTAAGGATTCAAACTAAGGAAGGGCCAGAGCATACACATCAGAATGGACTATTGGTTTGTATTTCTGGAAAATTATCATTTAAGCTTTGGGAGAAATGGTTAAAATGCCTAAAATTTGAGAAAAAAATTTTAAATAGAATTATATTTTTAATATAGTTTAAAAAAATTGTATTTAAAATTTTAATTATGTTTGAGTGTCAAATAAGTTATATCATCATCAAATCTAAGACATTATCCACTCTAGCTCACACTGTTACTTTATAGAGCGAAGAAAATCTAGGAATATTGTCCTTGATAACATATTATAATTTTATTGATGGAGTTGTCTTTCCCCAAAACAATAAAATACAGAATTTCAAAATAGGCAGAAGCAATTCCGTAATATGTAAGATGCATAAAATAAAAGTTTGATGTGTTAGGTTTAAAGTAAAAGCATCCCATTCAAGGGCAAACTGTCAGCAAGACTATAATAGTCTTTGTGTGCAAGATGAGACATTTTCAAATACATTCTCAGGAAGGGGGTACACTCTGAGAAAGGGCTGGTGGTGACTTGGCCTTGGTGACATTATCTGCTTCCCTGGAGGTAGGAAGAAGGGAAAGGGCTCCCTGAAACATTGTAAGGTCTCTGCCCCCCCCCCCCCAGTCTCAGACACACTTGCTAGCTGCTGTCTGAGCTTCGGAGTGTCCTGGCCTGGTCTATGCAGGGCTCTGACCTGTCCCCCTCTCCCAGCCATCCTGCTGGCCTCCCGGGAACTGACATGCAGCAAACGTCTAAAGCAGATGCTGGAGGTCATCCTGGCCATCGGCAACTTCATGAACAAGGGGCAGCGCGGGGGTGCCTACGGGTTCCGGGTGGCCAGCCTCAACAAGATCGCCGACACCAAGTCCAGCATCGACAGGTGGGGACCCCTGCTTCCTCGGCATCTTGCCCACCTGGCCCCTTCCCTCCCCGTTATCACCCTCCAGTCCCCTCCCCAGAGCTCCTCACCTGTTTGCCTTTCACCCACCTTAGCTTCCTCCCTTCCCCCATGCCCAGTCTCCCGGGTTTCTCACTTCTCGCCTGACTTATCCACAGAAACATCTCTCTGCTCCATTACCTGATCATGATCCTGGAGAAACACTTCCCTGACATCCTGAGCCTACCTTTGGAGCTACAGCATCTCCCAGAAGCTGCCAAAGTCAAGTGAGAGACCCCTCTTCCAGGGCTTCCTTCTCCCTGTGATCATGAGCATCTGGCTTTCCTTCCTCCTGGACCTACTAGAGATGGGCAATGCTTTGGGGTCTCCTTTCTGGAGAACCAAACAAAGGCAATTTGCTCTTAATACCTTGTTTTGGAGATGATTCTAGAAAACATTAGTCAAGGAGTAGGGAACTTGAACCGGGTATGGACAGAAGGCCCGTAACAGGAATGATTACGTTGATACCGTGGGCTGCACCCCACTAGGGAACTCTGGGAAACAATATAGAAAACTCACCCTGGCCATGCCACTCAAGAGGTGAGGGCACCGAGAAATCTTCCAGGCTACCATGCCAGTCATTGGCTGGAGGATCTGTGCCATAACTTTCTGGCCATGCCATGGGTGTAGACAAGGGTACTGACCCAGCCAAAAGACTCACCCATCTGGAAGAGTCAGGACCATGCCCTTTACTGGTTTGGACACCAGCAGCTACTGTAGAAATCAGGCCTGAACATATGGGTGAGTAGAAGCCATGTCTGGTAGCACCGGAAATGTGATGGCTAACCAAGTACTCAATGCTTACTGCACTTAAGATACCCTGTGTCTCGGTCTGTTCTCTGTCGCTATCATGGAATCACTCACTGACTAATACATAAAACCTAGGAGTCGAATCTGGACATGGTGGTGCAGGCCTGGATTCCAGCCCTCTGGGAGGCTAAAGCAGGGAGATTCTAAGTTCCAGCCCAGCCCGGACAATTTAGTGACTTAGCAAGGCCTTGTCTCAGAGCAAAGTTTAAAAAGGTCTGGGGATGTAGCTCAGTGCAAAGACCCTGGGAGTTCAATCGCCATTACAAAATAAAACAAAAATCTAAGCATCTGGCTCATGATTCTGGAGGCTGGGAAGTATAAGAGTATGGTGCCCAGTCTGCCCAGTACCTGGAACATAACCACAGGGCTGAATGCTTCCCTCGGCAAGACAGAGCAAGTGTGCTAGCTGGGGTCTTCCTCCTAAGGCTCCAGTGCCATCTTGGGACAGCACTCTGATGATCTTCTCTATCCCTAATCCCACGGGCTCCACTTCCAAGGACCATTATATGAATTTGGGGACTTGGTCTCCAATGTGAACTCCTGGCGGTGCATCCAAACCATAGCCCCCGGCTGTGAGCTGCTGGCATTACCTGGAGGTAACGTAATTAGATCTCAGCCAGAGCTCATGTGTTAGAGACCTTCTGATGTGCAGCAGGGAACGGCTAATCTGGAAGGATCTGTGGGGCAGAATTTTCATCCCGTTATAAGAGAGCTGACAGTTTGGAGAGAAGTGAGTTGCCAGGGCCACATGTCAGCCCTCTGACACCAGGCCCTTGTGCTTCCCTCTGCCCCTCTTCCTGAACCAACGTTGGCTCCTCACACCGAAGTTGATTTTTCTTCTTTGCCATCTCCTCTCTCCTGACAGCCTGGCAGAGCTGGAGAAGGAGGTGAGCAACCTCAAGAAGGGCCTGAGAGCCGTCGAGGTGGTAAGTGTGTTACCCCTGCCCAGGACTGGGGGGATGCTGTTGAGGTTGTTCCTCCTACTCACCACTGTATCCAGTGGTGGCCTCTGAGACATTTCTGGGATCTAGAGCTCCTGGCTGGGCTGCTGGAACAACTGGCACAGTGGTACAGCCCTCAGGAAGGGGTAATTGGGTGACTAAATTTACACCCCTGACAACCCCAAGAGGAGACATCCATTTGACACTTTCTGTATCACTGAGGAATATGGCGCCCACGTGGCAACAAGGCAGCATGAACATGAGTCTGCCCTGTGACTCTAGTAGATGGGGAAACTGAGGGCTGGCTGGAGACAATGCAGACCACTGTTACCAGAAGGCCCTGTGTCTCTTCACCTTGTCCCTGGGCCAGGGAAGACCGGGTGCTGACTTTTGCTGGAGACTCAGGTGTCTTAGTCCCTTCATGCTGCCACAACAAAACACAGTGAACGGAGCAGCTTAGAAGCAAGAAAAAAATTTTATTTCTGACAATACTGAAAGCCCCAGATCAAGGTCCCAGAAGTTTCAGTGTCTGGTGAGGGCCTATTCTTCAAAGATGGAGCCTTCACACTGTGGCTGCATGTGGTAGAAAGGGCAAAGTTCCTGGGTCTCTTTTAGAAGGGTGATAATCCCATTCAAGAAGGCTCTGCCCTCATGACCTGGTACCTTTAAAAGTCCTCACTTCCGGATACCTTCACCTTGGGAACTTTGGTGGAGAAACAAATAATTCAGACTGTAGTGCCATGGCTCTGGTCCCCACCATTCCTGCTCAGATGGCTTCTCAGCTCATACTATCCATGGCTCAGACATTGTCACCCTTGTGTCCCTCAAATCTAGGAACTAGAAACTAGTCCCATCTTCACTGTGAAGGCAAGAGGGAGGGAAAAGGAAAGTGGAGCTTGAGACCAAGCTTAAGTATAAGGAAATATATCCAACTCCACAGACCTTTGAAATGCTACTCAGTGTGGCCCATGGCCCAGTGGCATCTGAACCAGCTTTGATCTTTAGAAAGATACCTCTAATCCACACGCTAGTCACCTGTGGGTCTTGTTCAAATGCAGGCTCTGCTCCACTGGCCTGGGGTGAGGGGCTGAGAGCCTGCATTTCTTGAGATTTCTGGGTGGTGCTGCTAGCCTCAGACCACACTTGGGCTGAGAAGGCACTAAAGACGGCAGTCCTGGTCCTTATCATGGTCCTTATCAACCTGAGACCTATGTACGTAGGGTTTCCCTTTCCCAAAGGCAGGCTCGATGTCCTGATGAGTGATCGGGGAGATGGAGTGAATGCCAAGTTCCTCTCACCCTGAGTCTATCTAAACAGCACTTAACTCTCCCTCCCCAGGAGCTGGAATATCAGCGACGCCAAGTGCGAGAGCCCAGTGACAAGTTTGTCCCCATCATGAGTGACTTCATCACGGTGTCCAGCTTCAGCTTCTCGGAGCTGGAGGACCAGCTCAGTGAGGCCAGGGATAAGGTGAGCATGCCCCCAAGCCATTCCTGCTGCCCCCACCTCAGCCTCAACTAGCTGTAGCTCCTTCACCCTGGCTACCAGACGGCCTAGCAGGGACAGCCACCGGGCCCTGAAGAACCGTGTCCCTGCTCCAAGACAAGCAGGACCACCACTTTGGTGTCTGGATGACTCTCCTCACCTTATGGGTCTGCTAAAAGCTTACGGTCCCATTCGAGAGTCGACAGGTGGGAACATGGACGATCAGAGAAGTTAAGAGTCAATGATAGAACTGGTCAGAATCCTAACCTGCAGCTCAGCTGCCGCTCATACTAACCTGGGCATGGACCCATATGGGACTTTCAGAAACGTGGCTGCTTATTCAGGAGGCCTGGGGTGGAGGGTAAGAGTGTTGAGGCTGAGCACTTCTAACAGGCTCCCAGGTGGTGATCCCAGGCCTCGAGCCTTTCCTCAGCAGCTATCCCCCTGATGATGGGGCTCCCCACCCCAAGCATGCAGGAGTTCACAGCCTCGGGCTGGGCTCTGCTTTGACTGCAGGGCTGAGCCCTCATGCCCGTGACCTTGCCAGCCTGTCCTTCCCTTCCGCAGTTTGCCAAGGCGCTGATGCACTTCGGGGAGCAGGAGAGCAGGATGCAGCCGGATGAATTCTTCGGCATCTTCGACACCTTCCTGCAGGCCTTCTCGGAGGCCCGGCAGGACCTAGAGGCCATGCGGAAGAGGAAGGAGGAGGAGGAGCGGCGCGCGCGCATGGAGGCCATGGTGAGAGGCTGGGCCGGGCCGACACTGGAGGGGCCCGTGGGTGTCAGCCCCGGGCTGAGGGAGGTGACCCGTGGCATCCGGGAAGGAGCGTGGTGCCCACCCGGGCTCAGCCGCGTCTCCCCACCCCCAGCTGAAGGAGCAGCGAGAGCGTGAGCGGTGGCAGCGACAACGCAAGGTCCTGGCGGGTGGCTCTCTGGAGCTGGAGGAGGGCGGCGAGTTCGATGACCTGGTTTCGGCCCTGCGCTCCGGGGAAGTGTTTGACAAGGACTTGTCCAAGCTCAAGCGCAGCCGCAAGCGCTCAGGGAGTCAGGCCCCGGAGGGCACCCGCGAGCGGGCTCTGAACCGGCTAAATTATTGACTGGGGACTGGCCACACTGGAGCCAGCTACGGGCAGGGCGCAGAGCTGAGCAGCTGAGCGGAGCAGGCAGAGAATTTCCATTCGGTGCTGGGTGTGGAGCCCAGGGCTGGGCCCTGGGGCGAGGACTCTGTGCACCTGACCAGGTGTCTCCCCTGCTTACCTTCAGGGGCTCCTCTCGTCTCCCCTAAACAAGATTCTTTCTGAGTCCTGGCTGGGACAGCCCTGCGCAGGAACCCCAGGCCGCGGGCACCTGTTCCCCACCCCGGCACTCACGTGTCAGGACAGAATTCAGGCCCAGACCTCCGGAGCCAAGCCGAGGGGAGTGGCAGAGGGGTTAGATCGCCTGGGGACCAACTTTCCCCTTGGATGGGAACAGGAGAGGCATCCTGTGTCACAGCAGCTAGCTCAGCGCTGGCCTGTTCCAGAAAAACCACCATGCTGGGAAGACGAGGCAGGGCCCGAAGCTGTGAGGACGAAGTAGCAGCTTCCTACAGTGTAGGCCCTTCGGTCTTTCCCTCCAACGAATGCACCATCCAGAAACTCACCCTTAGCTTCCAGGATGAGGGCTCACTCCTGGGTACTGGCTGAATCAGCTAAGGGGGATCTGAGAGAGAGACTTCCATCAGCGCATCTCATGCTCCAGGCACAGGGACCTTGGGACCACGCCCCACGGGGCCTGACCATGGTCAAAGCGACACAGTGACCTCCCTTGTGGCCGACAGTGCCCCACCAGAGGGTAACACTTGAAGGCCTAGCTCCTGCAGGAGCTCCCCGGTCTGCCACTTCGTATCGTCACTTCGAGCACACCTTTTCTCTAACACCATGGGGCAGAAGCCACCTTGGCCGTCCATTCTGCAGGAGACCCACTTGGAATGGCATGTGCCTGGCCTGGGGAGTCGAGTCCTCGGGGCCAGAACTGCCCTGTGCCTTTACTGGCCACCATCTCTAAGGCCAGCTTCTATTGGGGACATCAGGCTGGGGGCCGGGATGCTGGGGCCACGTGGATGGAGAACAGTGGCCGGCTCTGTCGGGGGTGCCTGCTCTCTGGTGCTGTTTGGTTCTTCCCCGGCTTTCAGGGCACTTCTGGCCCTCCCGTTCTCTCCTTTGTTTTTGTCCATCTTGAAGTGTCCTCATGGGATGGCCAAGATTGCTGTATTTAGGCCAATTTTCTAAATGGAGGGAGTGAGGTCAGTTCCATCGAGGCTCTTATTTTCTTCACTGGTCCCACCCCTTTCTCTTCTGAGTCCAGTCCAGCCTGGCCCGGCCCTTCTGTCCTGCTCCTTTGCTTCAGGTTCTCTGCCAGGATACAGACTGCTGGGCTGCGCTCCTCCTCCTGCTGCCGGTCTTTGCTGAGTCAGATGCCTGGGGGTGGTGGGCACAGAGCCACGTGGAAGTGAGGTTGGTGAGCCCAGCATGTGTGTTGGTTTGAGGGGGTGGGCAGGTGTGTTGCAGTGGGAGGGATCTGAGCAAGTGCAAGCCTGGCCATCCTGGGGCCCAGGTGAGGGCCTAGGTGAGGCAAGGCTTCTAGGAAGAGCAGCTGCAGAGTTCAGTTGGGCCCATCTGTACCCCAGGGGCTCCCCCTGCAAGAAGCAGACCATGGGATGGTGGCCTCTTAGGGTCCTGTCCCCAACTGGCCTGGCTGAGTCAGCCCAACATGTGAGGGCCAGGGAACAGGGGAGGGCTCCACTTTTATGCAACAGGCACATCCAAATCCTGGACTTCCTACCTGCCATGGAAAACCGGCTATGCACCAGGAAAGACAGGAATAGGAAAGCAGTTTAAGACTCAGTCCATCTTCAGATAGGCAAAGTTCAGTTTAACTGTTTACAGAGGGTGCATACATTGTTCCGGAGCCCAGCCTTTTTCTTTCCTATTTATTATTTTCTAGATTTGGCCAGTGGTTCTTGGTACTAGTTGATGCCATTGTAGCCAGATCAACAATGCCGTGGACCATCACGGTGGTCCATGGTCAGCAGAAAGGGGCCAGTGCCCATGAAGATGGCTGAGCTGGTCCTTGATGTTAAATAATTAAGGCTATTAACACGTCCCTCGGTCTTCCTTTCCCCCATGTCCCCCTGCTCCGGCTCTCTCTGGGTAGAATTCTCCAGCTGTCAACCTCATGCAACCCTTCTTAGCAGCAGCCAGCACTTACAACCTATCTAGTTAGGGAACTACGTTTGGGAGAAAATTCTCCAGCCAGGTGGGGAAAGCTCTGGCTCAGGCTCTCCTGGCCCCTGTCCCATTGCCACCACTGGGGAGCTGTGACCATCTCCCCTGTCCTGTCCCAGGGACGTCCACCAACCTTCAGGCCAAGGATGCTCCCACCAGCTCTCAGATGACAGATGAGGCTCATGTGCAAAATCTGCAGTGTTCTTTTTACCTGCACCTTTTTATAAGAATATATTGTAATACTAAGAACTATTAAATCCATACCATCCCTCCCCACACTGCCTAGAAACTTGTGCTTCTTCCCAGAAGGGGATGCGGGGTGGGGCAGGGAGCAGGGACAGCCTGTATGTGCTAGAGCCAGGTCCTGCAGGGCCAACTGTCACATTTTCAGGCGTTCCGCAGACCATCTGGTCTGCCAGGGACAGCCTGAGAGTATTGGTGACACTGGAAATTCTGCTTTCCAGAAAGCTGTCTGTAGAACACTGGCCAGTGCCAGCACACCTCGGCCCAGAGCAGATGTAAGCAAGGCTGGGGCATCACCAGGGCCAGACTCAAAGGTACTCATGCACAGGAAGGAGAGACTCCAGCAGGCCAGGCACAGGTTTGGGGCTGGAAAACCAGGAACCTCTAATGCACTCTTCAGTAGCTGGGGGCAACACCCAGCCCAACCCCATCCACGCCAGGACACATGTATGTAAGAGACAGAACCTGCCCTTGGCCTTTCCAGCGTCACCCTCTTCCCCCACGAGTGGCTAGGATGGAGGTGAGGGGGTAGCAGCACCGTGCCCTCCCCACAGACACACACCTTAGTCTTGCATCTCCAACTCTGGCACTGTGGCTTTATTTGGGTGCTGAGAGAGTGAAGGTAACCTCTGGCTCTCCTCTCCCTGATATATTCCAGAATAAAGAGGGGTGGGAGCAGACCAGGCGTGGGAGAAGTGGTCCGCCAGGATTCCTCCGGGCTGAGCCCACTCGTGGTTCTGGTAAGAGGAGCCCAAGGCCTACAGGCTGGCTGGGGCCCAGACTTGGGCAAATGGAGGGGACAGGTGGCTGTCTTGTAGGAGGGATGGCAGAGATGGAGGGGCTGTGACTTCTCAAAGCTGTTGCTGAGGAGTTGTGAAACATTCTTGGTGCAAGCTTGTGCTTTTCCTTTGTCAAAGTGGGTTCCTTGATGGAATGAGCCCTTGTTCTTTCCCCATAGAAGCAGGAGAAGTGAAAACCCAAAATAAGTCACAGGCCAGGCTGAAATAAGAGCCTAAGAAACATGCCATGATTTTCCAGGCATCTCGTGGTACACTTGGCAAACCCTCCATTAACTCAGTCCTGGAAGGCTTTGAGGCCTGCTGGGGTCCCTCTTTGTACAAAGTGAGCTTCACAGGTTATTACAATCATCCAGCAACAAGGGGAGCTTGACCTTGGCTTCTGACTGGTGACGGTCATGCTTTAGTAACAGACTGCAGGAACATGACATCTTTCTGTTGGCCCGAATTGTAGGTGCAGGAGGGGTGGGATTTCTATGGCCGGTGGAAGTCCCCATGCTGGCCTCCGGTCTTGCTGACGAGCTTGATCTCCCCTATCTCGATGTCCCTGCTGACAGCCTTGCACATGTCATACAGGGTGAGGGCAGCCACAGCAACGGAGGTCAGCGCCTCCATCTCCACCCCAGTGGGGCCCCGAGCCCGGCAGGAGCCCTGGATCACCACGGCGTGGCGTGCGGGTTCCAGCCTCAGCTGCACCTGGACATGGCTCAGGGCCACGTGGTGGCACAGAGGAATCAGCTGGCTGGTCAGCTTGGCTGCCTGGACTCCAGCCAGCTGGGCCACCCCTAGGGCATCTCCCTTCTTTAGTTGGTTCTGCTGGACAAGCTTGAAGGCCACAGGCCCCAGGAGGACCACAGCGGAGGCCACAGCTTCCCGATCCGTGTCTGGCTTCCTGCCCACATCCACCATAGCTGCCCGCCCTTCCGCGTCCACATGCGTGAGTTGATCTGAGGTTGCCCAGGGTCCTGAGGTGGTGGCAGGAGCCCGGGTCCCTGGGCTAAGGCACATTGAGGTGGTGTTGGAGTCTGCAAGGGAGCTGTAGAGTCTCAGAGGGGATCCAGACCTTGGCCGCTGCCAGGCCAGAGCAGGGGCCTGGGGGCCCCAGTGTTCTTTCCACGAAGTTGCCATCAGGTGAGAGGGAAGCAGCCTGGGCCTCCAGCCCTGAGCAGGGACAGGGTCCCAGGAGGAGATGACTGGACTGGCTGGTGGGGAATCCTGGAGCATCAAAAATAACCCTGGAAGGCAGGAAGGAAACAGACTGAGCCCAGAAGGTAACCAGTCCTTTTCTCCACCTCCTTCCCAGCCCACATTGCATACTGGGGAGAGGAAGGGCACAGAAAAAGCATAGCAAGAAGAAAGGAAATGGGAGGTAGACAGGGGACACTCGGTTCAAGTTTGCACCAGTTTGGCAGGATGGCCAGGCATGGTGCTGTGTGGCCCGCTGGGCCTGCCTTCTCAAAAGCAGCTGAGAGAGCCCACACCGTCTAGGCTTCCGCCTTCAATGTCTTTCCATTTTCTTAAAACTAGAGCTAAGGCTTATCCTAAGTTACCAATTATAGTCACTTTCACACCTTCATATTATCGATGAGGGGTTAACAGCAATCTTTTTTTTTTCTTTTTTTCGAGGCAAGGTCTCGCTATGTAGCCCAGGCTGGCCTTGAACGCGGCAATCCTCCTGCCTCAGCCTCCTAAGTGCTGGGATTACAGGCGTGCACCACCACGCCTGGCCAATGGTAATCATTTAGGATACACAATAATAAATGAAACAATGTATTTTAAATCCACTCAACCACATCAAAAGTCCATGAAAACTGACAGGCGGATTCTACCAGTCCAGAGGCCTTGTGAAGGGTGTTCCAGGCTGCTGTTACTCAAACGGTGGGCCAGGGCCTGAGAGTACCAGGCTCCCCCCCAAGAACTTGGATGGGGGCCCACCTCAGTCCTCCCAAATCAGAACCTGAAACAAGATCCCCAGGTGGTTCCCATGCACAGGAAGGGCAGAGGCCCTGTCCGAGGCAGCTCTGGTGTACCAGAAGCAGACCAGCACTGCGCCATCCCTGAGGTTAATGCCTCGCTGTGCCAACATGGGCACAGGGCCCAGTCCTGCTCCAACCTCTGGAGAGAACTCTTCCTCTGGTTTTGCTCACTGCTCTTCACTGTCTAGTATACAGATGGATGTGGGTATGGTCAGGGGGACAAGGCCTTGTGGCTCTCACTGGGCATCGTGCTGGGGCAGCAGCAGCCCTCCAGCTCCTCATGGGCCAGCCCACTTCCCTGGGCAGGACACCACCCAGAGTGATTTAATGGGAAGCATCCTGTCTAAGCCCATGAGCTCCCACGTTCCTGAGAGCTTACTGGATATTGGGAAGTGGAGATCCAGGCTGTCTCCTCGACACAGTAAGGTTATAGCTGGCTGTCCCAAGTTGTGCCTGGCACCGACATACCACACACCAACCCACGGGGCCAGGAGTCCACAGACACATTCATGGGCCACCCCTCACTGCACAGGGGAAGGGATCCTCGCCCGCCACTGTGTCCACGCTGGGAGACTGCAGAGCCGAGGACAAGGTCTCTAATCAAGGGTTCCACTATGAATGAATTTAGTGATCATGAGATTTGGAGAAGCCCCATGCCGATTTCTGGTGGGAGGGAATGGTCACTTTCGTGGTGTGTGTGGTGAGAGGGTGCAGCAGACAGGGAAGACACAGGGCTTGAAGGGGTAGGAAAAGATGGAGAAGTATGTGAAGGTCAGGATGAGATGCAGGAGCTGGGGGTGTCTCGTGGCAGGGGCCCCACCCCACAGGACCCCCAAATGACAAGGGGGAGTGGTTACTGGTTACGTACTGATGGGTCACCCACCGATGAGGATCATGGGCCGGTTCTTCATCTGGGCAATATTGAACATGCCTGGGGAGGGGAGGACAGCAGGGAAGGGAGAGAGAGGGTGGGAGAGGGGAGTTTGCTGAAGTCAGTGGGTGGCCAGAGGTGGCCCGACAGCCCTGGGTGCATGCACTCAGCTGCTGGCATCCTGACACAGGGTTCCCCCATGCACCAGCAGGAGGCCACCCAGGCCAGAGCCCAGAGGACAGCCAGTGGCTGCGCTGCCTGGCAGAGGCATTGTGTGGGGACAGGCAGGCAGCGACTCCCTTGCTCACAGCCCAAGAGAATTAGGGGGTCCTGCTAAGCATGGCCGTGCCTGTCTCCCAAGAAGACCCATCATCGTGTGCTGAGTCCAGAGCTCCGAGTCCAGAGCTCCCACAGAAGCGGGTGGGCACCGGCAGGGCCGACAGAGCTTCCCCCTGGGCTCTGTCATCTCACCCCTAATGCCACCAGGCCTCCCGCCCGGTGGTGTGGCCCGCCTGTCCCTACCTGCATGCTGCCGTTTCTTCCTGCCCACTGCGGCCCCAATGATGGTCAGCAGCTGCTGCTCTGAGGTGCCGGCCCGCAGGTGGTCCCGTAGGGAGACTTCTGAGTTCCCAAAGAGGCAGACCTGGGTGGGGACGAGGACAACACACCTTGCTCAGCCCCAGGCTGCACGGCAGTGGCCAGGCGATCAAACCCACGGCAGGACGCCTGGCCATGAGGAGTAGAGGTGCTGGAGGAGGAAGAGACCTGGACTTTCCAAGGCCCGTGTCTCACTCAGTCACATTTCCTTTCGAGTATGCAATTCACTCTGAATGGGAAGTAGATGCCAACAGAGGCAGCACAGAAGGATCCAGCTCCAGGTCTTCCTCTGTGATGGGGATGGCCTTGGTCACCATGAAAGTTGACCCCAATCAGGTGGAGCTAGGACCCCAGATGTAGCAGGCACAGCACAGCCCCACCTGGTCCCTTCACCTGAGGATGTCACTGCCTGCCCCTCCCCTTAAGTCTGAGCAGCCACCGAGGGTCGGTGGCAATGGCTCCCTGCTTCCAAGCTTTGTGAGGGGCTGGGTGCTATGGGGCCCAGGGGTGGACAAGGCGTCTTAGCAGTCAAGACACCCACCTTCCTTCCACAAAACCTTATAAAGCACCTACTATGTGGTGGCTCTGCACAGGGCACTGTGGACAGAGACAGAAGAGCGCTGGAGAGAAGACAGCAGTAGATTCTAAGCTAGAAGCTGTAACTAGCTCACCCTGTGCTGGGATAACCCATTTCTACCCTACCAGGCCCCAGGCTTCACCCTCTGCCCTTCTCTAAAACTGTGGACTCTGCTTTGGTTGGCTTCTTCCTGGGAGATCAGGAGGTGAAGGGAAAGTGGGGTCAGGCATTTCTTTCCTGCTTCAACACCTGGCAACAGCTGCTTCCCTTCATGGCAGAAGTGGCAAGTGACGTCATTTCCTGGCCTTCCTACCTAAGCGGGACGCTGGTGGCTGCCATTTGTGTCGGGGTGCCTCAATGTCCCTTATGGTTTCTGATATGCCTAGACACTCTAGACAGTCTCCATTACATTCTCTTCAGAAACCCACCTCCCACTTCCTGCTAGGCCACTGTCTCCATCCCAGGAACATCTCTATCCTTTTCAACAACCCGCTGGATGGTCCCTTTTGATGTCAAACTGGACGCACCCAAACTCAGTCCCTCTGCCGTCAGCCTGAACAGGTCCCAAGGTCCGGCAGCCACATCGACACCTCCCCTTCTCCAGGCAACCCAAGCCCTTTGACTCTTCCATCCCACCTTCCCTTCACAGGCTAAAGTTTTCTGCCGATCACTTAATAGCCAGCTACTGAGCCTTCCCAGCTTCATACCCAAGGTGGAGGGGGTTACGTCTCCCCCTCGTTCAAAAACCTCACAGAGCTCCCTCTACTGCCAGCAGAACTCCTTCTAAACCACAGCCCAAGTCTGATTTCCATCACTACGAGCCCTAGGTGTGTGCCCTTCCTTCTTCCTCCCGAGATGCTCCAAGGCTGCCCCATCCAGTGCTCGGCCCTGAGGTTCCTCACCCTGGCTGCCTGGCGAGCCACGCCCATGACAGAGGTTCACCTTGGAATCCCCATGGGATTATTTTATGTCTGAAAGCAGATGGGTCCTTGCATTCCCTGCAGGACAGGGCTGAATCCAGGCACTGGGCTCATTACTCATGGGTCATGGATGCTGGTTCCAGAGCTGAGTCCCTGGCATGGTGGAAGGGACCAACCAGATGGGGCAAAGGGGCATGCTGATCCTTTGCCCCTCTCCTCTGCGAGTTCCAAGTGCGGGAAAGGGGCTCGCAACAAACCGAAAACTACTTCAGGGACTCCGAGGAGGAGGGGAGGGAAGAGATCAGGGTGACTGTGCCATAGAGCCATGAGTTCACTCTCTTCCTGCTCCCAAGATCTGACACAATGGCCAGCCTCCCAGCGTGCCCTGCTGGTCTCCACGCCCACTGGGGAACTCAGGTGGGAGGAGATGGAGACAGGGTGGCCTCAGAGTACTTAGGGAGACAGACACTCACCTTGAGGTTCCCATCAGCGGTGATTCGCAGCCGGTTGCAGGTCCCGCAGAAATGCTCGGACATGGACGTGATGAAGCTGATCTGGCCTTGGAAGCCCGGGATTCTGAAGGCCTGGGGGTAGAGGGCCAGCCAGGGAGTGGGGGTGCTGCTGAGCCCGAGCTCCCTCTCCTTGGCATCAGGAAGCCCCTCCTTCCAGAGGAGCCAGGCACTTGGGTGATGGGCGACTCGTGTCTGAGGCGGATCTGTCCCCTGCCCACCCACTCCCTAACCTTGGCAGTGCTCGATTTCTCCTCCGGCAGCTTCTCCAGCTCCGGCCACTGCTGGTGAATGGTGTCCAGCATCTCCTTGTAGCTGACCATCTTCTTGAAGTTCCACTTGTTGCCTGCATTTGATTGGGGGTCACAGGGAGGCTTTAGAACCATAGTTGCAGGGACCTAGGGTCTTCAAAGTCCTTCCTGCCCGGCAGAGGAACTCAGAGGAACTGCTTCTCTCCCTTCAGAATGGGAAGACAGGGGGTCCTGCTTGGCTCAGGTGGGTCCTTCACACCTGTGAGGGCCCCAGTGTGGCTCTGGGCCCATGGCAGCCCCCACTACAGAGCCCACCCTGCCCACCCCCTGAGCCCCAGGCCCCCATCCGCCGCTGACCGTCGAAGGGCATGTACTCTATGAAGCGCACGTCCAGAGGGAGGCCCTCGGTCAGGGCTACAAAGTTCAGAAGCTCGTCCTCATTCAGGCCTCGCATTACCACGCAGTTCACCTGGCGGGGACACAGGACACGGGGAGGGTGAGGGCCATCTACAAGCACCCTCTCGGGGATGACCTTTGTTTGGGTGGCAGGAGCCTGCAAGGTCCTCTATGGGGGGAGCCACTCTGCTTCAACCCACCCAATTCTCCTGAAGTCTCAGGGATTCCCTGGGGTCATTGCTTTTCTCCCTAATTCCTGTGAAAGGGTTGGGATGGAGCTGGGACTGCAGCTGGCACGGACGTGGTAGGAGGCACCCTTCAGTGGCACTGGGCAGATGTCACTGTCCCCAGCCAGGAGACCTGAGCAGGGAGGAAGGCGGAAGTCAGCAGCAGGGACAGTCCTCACCTTGATGGGGCGGTACCCCAGCTCGATGGCCTTGTAGATGCCTTCCATGACCTTGTGGAAGCCTGAGGAGAGGGAAAGCGCTTATCCACAGAGCCCAGAACCCTTGGTTGGCTCAGCCACTTGGGCCAGGCAGGGACACCCGCCCTGCACCCCGCAATGCATCACCTTTCCTGCGGACGATGAACTCAAACTTAGCGGGCACCAGGGTGTCCAGGCTGATGTTGAGGGCACTGAGCCCTGCCTTCTGCAGTGAGGGCAGCAGCCGGGCCAGGTTGATGCCATTGGTGGTCACTCCAATGGTCTTCAGGCCCTCCAGTTGGCGGAGCTGGGCTGGGGAGAGAACGGGTGTAAGACGGGTGAGGCCAGGAAGAGCGATGGAGGCAAAACTTGGTCCAAACAGAGGAACAAGGGGCTCTCTGTGACCTCCACTGCACGACAGGGACATCATTCACATATGTCGCTGCTGGGCGGCTCTGAACCACTGGTAGTACATGCATGATTGTCCATCAGGTGGCTTGGTATGGTGCCATTGAGTGGTACAAGCTGCCCAATGAAATGTCATGAATGCATCACTGGTGCCTCAAGCCAGCAAGAAAGTGTTAATAAGAATGCACAAATAAAAAGCACAAAATGTAAGAGATGGTGCCTGCTCTGTGCAGAGGTCTTGGCATACATTAGCTCAGAGTAAATTATCCTCAATAAGGAAGAGGCTCAGAGAGATTAAGAAAATTGCGTGAAGTCACACAGCTGGTCAGAACCGCTAAGATTCAAGTCTGTGTGCACCGGACTCCAGACCTGTGTTCTGGATAACCAGCCATACAGTTCATGCAGCTCCGTGTAACACGAACACAAACGTGTTCAGGTTCTCTGCTATTTGACGCCTCCATTCTGCCAAAATTCCCTAGAAATAACATTCCTAACTGTACCAAAAGGTAAGGATGTCCTAGGTGCCCCAGAAGAGTAACAAAATACTGAGACAAAAAACAAAACAAACCAAAAAAATGGGTGGGAGCAGAGGGAGACAGGCGACCATGGCCCAGACTGCATCCAGAAGGCGGCTCTAGACAGAGAGGCAGGGACCAGTGACACTCCCAGGAGCAGGGGGCCCGGGCCGGCACGGCACAGAGCGGCCTGGCTGAGTTGTGTGCAGATGGCTGGGCAAGGCGCCCTCACCCACCCTGCAGGCAGGGGCAGCAGAAGCCAGGCTGGGACACCAGAGAAGACAACTGATGTGGCTGGTGGGGACAAGTCCGGTAGTGCCGTGACACTCCGGAAACAGAACCCCGAGACCTACAGCCAGCAACAACCCATGCCCGAAGGGGGTCCACAGCTGTGAAAGAGAGACAAGAGCCACCAACAGAAGGGTGAAGGATGCAGCAGTGAGAGAGACAGCAGAAGACGATTCTTTTTAAAGGTGGCTGTCCTGCAGGGCATGGTGGCACCACCTGCTGCCTATAATCCCAGCGCTCTGGGAGGCCGAGGGAGGAGGATCACAAATCCAAGCCATTCTGGGTAATTTAACAACTTAGTGAGACCTCGTCTCAAAAAATAAGGGCTGGGGATGTAGCTTGGGATCAATCCTTACACCAAGAAAGATGAAAAGCAGTTATCTTCTCTGGAAGAAATACTGACTCTTGAGAACAAAAATAAACTAAGATTCCTGAAAAAATATGTATTATAATCTCTGGTTATCTGCAGGGGACTGGTTCCAGGAACCTGCTGGTTGGGGTACACTAACATCTACAGATGTTAAATTCCCTTGCATAAAACAAAAACAGTGGGGGACTTGCATATAAACTACATGCATTATCCTGCATGCTTAAGTATCTCAATATTACTTATAAAACCTAATACATTATAGGTGCTATGCAAATAGTGCTTACATAATATTTAGACAAGGACAAGGAAAAAGAAAGTCGGCCTTGTTCAGTACAGCTGCCACCCAGGTGGGCCTAATTATGCAGGGCACGTCAGTAACAATGTACCATTTTCCCTGAGTATTTGTGACTGGTGGTTGATTGAATTTGCAGGTGCAGAACCTGGGTATACAGAGGGCTGACTGTAGTTAGAGAAAGGAAAAACCTTGAGGGAAAGCAGGACACATAAAAGGCAAATGAGCAGGCTGAACACTGAGCAGAATGGATTCCTAGGAGCTGCATTCAAATGAACAGAGGAGTGAAAAGAATGGTATTGGAAAGCATCTGCCTGCTCACATGCAAATCCAATAAAATCAGTAGAAAAGAGTATCCATGTACTATGGTTCAGATGTGTTAAAGGCTCGAACCCTGGGACCTGGCCCTCTGTCTGCATTCCTGGCTCAAGTGTGTGACCACTTGCAGCTCTGACATATGCTCCTGGCATCGCTATCCACTGCCGTGACCAGAGGGAAAACTAAGAGGGCTCAACTGATCTTAAACTTGAACTCTGCAAGAGCTATATCTTTTCTCTTTAACATTAGTTGCCTCCAATATTTCATGGTAGTAACAGAGCTCTCCAACTCTGTGTCCAAATGTTCACAGTAGCTGTCTTTGCTCAGTAGGATTACAGGGGACTTTTGGATTTACTCAGCAACAACTAAGGTTTTTGTGTCGAATGAACAAGTTCTTTTATAGTGTGGGGAAACACACAACACACGTCCCCTTTTAGCTGACTCTGCTACACGGACAGTGTCACTGCCTAGATCATTCAAGCCCTCGGATCAGGTGCTGCCGTCAAACTACCAGAAGGGACGAAGAACCGGCTTAGCTTCATGTGAAAGCAGAAACCAGGAGTAAAGGGCACAAGGGAAGCTGAATTAAGAGAAAAGCAGCAGAAGCTGGCCAAATTAAGAAAAAAAAATCTATCCTAGTGGGACTGCACAGAAAAGCACATACTCAAAGTATAAGAATAAAATTATACACAAGGCAATTAAGAAATATGGTGAATGTTAAAAAAATTTACTATAGTAAATGATATTGTCATTAAATGCCTCTCAAAATAATCTTCACTTCAAACACACTTACTCTTGTTGCCGTGTTCTGAAGCACCTCTGGAATTCCCCTTCCATGTCTTTATGAGGTGTGATCAAAAATACAGTGAATGCTGCTGTTGAGTGCCACACAATGGAAAGGGAGGTTCATAAAAAACAAACATGGGGCCAGGGATTTGGCTCAGTGGTTCTGCCACATGCCTCGCAAGCACAAGGTCCCGAGTTCGATCCCTAGTACCAAAAAAAAAACCTCAACCCAAACATGATGCTGTGTCCTCATCCACCATATTCACCAAATCTGGCATGGTGTGCCTTCTGGCTCTTCCCCAAAATCAGAATGACCACAAGAAGGCAGCTATGACAGGGCGACTAAAGACACTCATGAAAGAGGACTCCAGAACTACTTCAGAAAGTGGCAAGAACAACGGGATAAGTGTACTCAAATTAAGGAGGAACATTTTCAGGGAGATTAATTGCAATGTGTCTTTTATTGTAATTAATTAAAAAAATTTAAACACACCATGTTTTTCCATCACACCTCATATACCCAGTTTCTGCTCTCATGTGAAGTTATGTATGGAATTTTGCAAAGGCTTTGACCTGAAATTTCACGTCCAGACTAGGAAATGGATAATAAAGGCATGTGGGAAATAATACAGGCAGCCAACAGTGCAAAACTGGTTAAACTGTTTTCTGTAGATGTTGGAGTATTATGCAATGAAACATGACCCCAAACTCCTATGCTGGGGTTGAGCAATGCCCTGCAGATACGAAACAGAGACAGTGGATTAAATACGGGAAGTACTGCATGCAGAGAAAAAGGCAGGCAGACAGGACACCACACAAAATGTTGACAGTGGTTACAAATGGTTCCCAGCAATATTCCTTTTGCTTATCTCAGATACACATACATTCCTTCTGTTAAAAGAAAATAAAATTTTAGAAATAAAAGTTGTTCGAAAAACAAAGGAACTTTAACTCTGGCTCTGCCAACAGGGAAAATCAGCAGCGGTTATGGCTCCCTCTGCCAAGTCAAGCCTGGAGAACCACACAATCTGGCACCGTAAAAATTCTCAAGAAACTCACAGGAAGAGGGGCAGCCAGGGTGGATGGTGACTGGCACAAACGTGGAGAGTCAAGGGCAAGGAAGGCAGCATGAGCTCCGCTCTCGCCTCCTGCACTGATGCCCAAGCACTGCAAGTCCCCTTCCTGAAGACATCAGTGGCAAAGGCTCTGACAGCTGGTTTGGGAACCACTGGAAGGACACGGCAGTTAGATGTGGAGCTGGCGAACATGCGTGAACAACTTCACACTCCCCTCTCCTTTCCGTGAGCTCCTCAGGCCTGCTGAATACTAGGACCTGGCTTTAAACCTTTCCCCCTAACCAGAGCCACACAGGATAGCTGGAACCCTCAGGGAACCTCAACTCATGGCCAAACCAAAGACACTTTGGGGCTCCCCTCCAAAACAGTCCTTTAAAATATACCAATAGGAGAAAAAGTATTAAACTAGGCAGACTGAGAATGTAAGATAAGTGTGATGAACACAGTAAAAGAAAATTTAAAATATATTAAAAATATGAAAGTAAAGTCTATAATAGTAAACAGGAACAAGGGGAAGTATTAGCTAAGCATAACTGTGACAAAGAACACAACAGATACAGTCACAGGAGAAACTGGTGAGTTGGAAGTGAGGAACTCCCAGGAAACAAGAAGGAAAATAAAATGCGACTGAAGAGACATGGAGGCTTGAAGCAGAAGGGCCAACCCCCAGATAATAGAGGCCTTAGAAGGAAAGAGTCAACAGAGAACAGGAAATATTTAAAGAAATAATGAAACAGATTTCCCCCAAACCTAGGACAACTGTTTTAGTATTAAAAGGAAATTCTACTGAATGTTAACAGAACAGATGCAGAAAAGCCCATTCAATAAATACTATTTTTTAAAGACATACTATTTTAAGAATCTGAGGAGATAAAATACAAACACTAACTTCCTGAGGAACAGATCTTCTCATCTTAATGGAGCAAAAGCCAAACTGATGAACTTCTCTGAACAGAAATGCAGACTCTAAAAGAAAAGGCAATGTTCGTATGATATTGGAGGAGAGATGCTTGCAGGTAAAATAATATGTGCATTCAATTAACATTATAAAGGTACTAATCTATTGCTTAAAACATTATAAAATTACCTGGCTGACAAGATTTAATAAGATTTCCCATAAAAGCCCCACACTTAACACTCTCAGAAGAGAGACTAGTAAGACAGGAAAAAGTTCAAATGTTTGCGGCACAACTGTGGGGGTTAAGAGCCAGGAGCCACCTTGGTGAAGCTTTTGTTGGACTGGATGACAGAGAACATGT